CACACACTCACTTAGACCCGGCTCTAATAGTTTACCCAACAGCGCTTGTTCGACAAATATTGGGAAAGGTTCAATGACAAGGAACACTTGTGGTGTCCGGCGTGAGATTGGCGCGCAAACAAGCCTGTGGAAACCTGTGGAGCATCACGACATGAGAATCGCCTGAGGTCTGGGAGATGAACATGACAAAAGTCTGCCATGTGGCAAACTCTGCAGCCACTGCCCAACTGATAAGGGTTTATTAGGTTGATATCACTGCAACCCTTCTCATGGAGCGAGTCCATCACGAACACTACATTGTTCACCGCGATTTCATGTATTTCAATATCGTGAGGCGCTGATGAATTTCGAAATCGTTTCCTGTGGTTGACATCCTTCCACATAATTTCATCTTCCCTCGTAATTTTCACTCTTTCTTGCACCAGAGAGGGCGAAAAGATGCCCCACGACAAGCACTCTCTCGACCACCGTGTCTCGGTGGAAGGTGACGGCGAGCCTCTCGGTCGCCGCACTTCGGCGCTCGAGGAAGCCCCGACTTTCGTTCCTCCAGCGGGTTACCCAGGCATGCCCGTCACTCGTCGCCGAAGCACAGTTTCTCAAACCTCGCGCGTAACATTCGAGCACGACCAGTCAGAGGATCTCGATGAGCTTGTGCGAAGCGCATCGGCCATCAGCCGGCACAGGTCAAGGGATAGGCGCGAGTCCAAAGACAACGTCTTCGAGTTGCCCGCCTTCCCTAAAGCTGCGAAGCCCGGCCCCGTGAGCACTATTCGCGAGGTACCTTCCCAGTTCACTACCCCTCAATCAACACGGCCGCCGTCCCCGGTCTCCGGCGTGAGCTCGGGCCCGCCCTCACCCGGAGGTGGGTCCGGCACACAGACGCCCGCCGAGTATGAGATCGGCGCTGGCCAAGCTTACCCGGACGTCGGCACCGTCGCTTCGTTCCGAGGAGCCATCGTGCTGCTCTGCACCTGTGGCGCTCAGCTCATGGATAACATCTTCATGACCGCCGTCAACATCGCCCTCCCCGCTATCCAGAAGGACTTCAAGGTCAAGAATGCGGAGCTGCAGTGGTTGATCTCGGCATACACCTTGACCTTTGGTGGCTTCCTTCTTCTCGCCGGCGTCTTTGCGGATCGCTTTGGTCGCAAAATGATCTTCTGCGCTGGCATGGCTACGCTGAGTGTATGGACAATCGCCAATGGTTTCGCGACCTCATTCATCCAGCTGGCCATCTTCCGAGCTCTGCAAGGCATCGGCGCTGCCATGACCGTGCCTTCGGCTGTTGGCATCATCAGCAACTACTTCATCGCCAAGGATCGCACGCTTGCACTGACCATCTTTGGTGCCGCTGGTGCCGTTGGGTTCTGTCTAGGTCTCATCTTTGGAGGCTTCTTGACTTCGTCGCTTGGTTGGCGATACATCTTCTACATCCCCACTGCCGTCACAAGCATTCTTGGCATAATCGGCTGGTGTCTTCTCCCCAAGGACAGACTCGAAGGCAACTCAAAGCCCAAGCTCGATTTTGTTGGCGCCGGTCTGTCAACTACTGGTCTCATTTTGCTCAGCTTCGTGCTTTCAAGCGGTGGTGAGTACGGTTGGGGCAAGGCTTTCATCATCGCGCTGCTGGTCGTCAGTATCGCGATGATTGTTGCCTTTACCTACGTCGAGAAGAAGGTCGCCAACCCCATCATGCCGCTGTCACTATGGAAGCTCGAGAACTTTGCTGCTCTCTGGATCGGTGGCTTCGGTAAGTTATACATCTCTCTTCAACACCAAGACCATGTGCTGACCCTTGAATAGTTTCATACGGAGGCTACCAGACGACGATCTACTACACCACTCTCATCGCCCAGGAAGTCAACCATCTCAGCGCAGGACAGACCGCCCTCCGATTCCTTCCCATGGGTGCAACAGGCTTCATCTTCAGCCTCTCCATGTCCCGCATGCTCGAGATCTTCAACACTAAGCTTCTCCTCGTCATCGGAATGGCGATTTGTGCAATCGCGCCCATCCCCTCCGCGCTCATGCGACAAGACGACCTCAACTTCTGGAAGCACGTGTTCCCGACCACCGTCATGGGCGTCGCGGGCGTAACTATCGTCTACTGCACCATCACCGTGGTGCTGCTGGCTTCTGTGCCAGTCAACGTCAAGAGCCTGTGCGGCGGCATGATCAACACGGCTTTCCAGATTGGCAGCGGCGTCAGTCTTGCCCTAGCGGGAGCTGTCGTCCAGGCTGTTGACACCAGCAAGGGACACAGCGATTTGCGGCAGTACAATACTGGCTTGTTGTGCTGCTGTGGCCTCGCTGGTATTGGCATGATTGCCAGCGCGTTTGGAGTGAAGAATATCGGCAAGGCGGTCGGCGGGCCTGTAATGGCACATTAATGACTTGATGACAAACTGAATGACGATAGAGGTATAGAAAACCCGGCAACAACGGAACGTTCGAATGTTTGAAGATAGACTACTGCTTCGACAGAAGCATCATTTCGCATAGACTTAGACTTTGTTTACTTGGCGGTAATAATACGAAGAAAAAGCGAATCGTTTTGTGGTAGTTGAGTGTTGGAAAATGGAATGCGAAACCTGATGGCTTTGCCTAGTTCTTACAATATGTTCTTATCTCAAAGAAAGCAACTTGCTGTAGTGCAGATCGAACAATTTTTGCCTCTCGATCAATTTCGAATGACTTTATCTGCGCAAGTCATCGAGCCATGTATGACTTACTGTTAGAGCGATACCATTTTGCGTACAATCAATGTCATACTCGGAGCATGCCTATGTGCCTAGATTAGACAATGAATTGATACCTAAGAGACCGTTCAAATATGTGATGAAATGATCTGATTTGATTCGACGTTGCTTGCGTCACCCAGAAAGATCCGAATCCTTTCGGGTCCATCCCACTCGGCTTGAGGAGTCGTCAGCAGTGAAGTGCTCAGTCACACAACAAGCACAATCTCACCCTTCCATCGAGCGCACTCGGAAACAAAGATTCGGAATAGGCCAAGGAATCATTACGTGTACTGTAGACAAGCCGTCATTCTCACCCTAAGATCAACTCAGCGTAGGCTTGAATCGTCCGGGCCGCCGTAAGGTTGCCGGTTGGGGCCCACCCTTGGACTCAATCAAGCCCCACTCGGCGTCCGCTTTCTTTCCGAAGGTGCTCGGAGCTTACGGATGTAGCTGAACACCGCATCTCGTGTTTTGTTTCAGCGGCATCAACCGTTGCTATATAATATGATATTTTGGATCTAGGCCGACGGCTATCAGTTGATCGAATAAAGTTCATACCGACTCTATCAGTAACACAATGGCTTTCGGAGTCCCTTCAATCATGACAACCCTGGCCCCCTACCATATCATCTCATACGGGACACTGCTCGGCACGTCATTGTTTCAGACGTTTATCAACACCAAAATCTGCTATCTCGAGCTTCCCAAGTCTGCATTCACGACGTTGCAGAAGCGTCTATTTCCGATATACTTCCGATGCCAGGCGCTTCTTCTTGTCTTGACCGTCCTCACATTCCCCCCTCATGGCCCAGCATCCTTGTTCAAGGAGAAGAGCAACTGGATCCCGCTCGTGGTTGTGGGAGTAACATCTTTGGCGAACCTGCTCGTCTACGGACCGAGGTCTAAACAGGCGATGATTGATCGCACGCATCAAGGTGAGCCCGGCCGACACGTTCTCTACCATTCTTCTCTTAGTACCTAACACCGAAAAGAAACACGCGATGCGAAACGTCCTGGGGATGTTGATGAGCCGAGTCCAGACATGCTTGCTGTCAGAAGACGGTTTTCGAGGAACCATGCAATGAGCATCCACCTCAACCTTGTCGCAATCATCGCGATGTTGTGGTACGGTTTCAGCCTGGCATCTCGCATTCATATTGAAGTAGATTCATGAATGCGGCTTTGTGAATGCTACTTCTAGATTTAAGCTCGATCCCCTTCCCTGTACCTCGCCGTCTCAGCATGCACACATGCGCCTTAGATAGACCCAAGGCGTAGCCACAAATCAACGGTCTCTCAACTCCTTTGAAATGTTCCAAGTAGCTGAATGATTTAATCATTAGCTGCTCAGATCTGGGGTAACCTGGGTGCCTGGGTGTTGCTAGTGCCCTAGAAAAAAGTAGTGCAGCGCATGAGTAATGCTAGCCACAGCCGAAAGCCCGCGGCGTTTTGTGACTTGTTTTCTCCACATTTCGGTTGTAAAATCTAGTCACCTCGGCTTCTTCAATCTTCAAGCGGGTGACGCCTCCGAAAAACATACCGTTGACATCGAATAACCTCGCCGACTTGCGAATTACGTGCGCTCATCCATCTGGGATTTGATTTTGGGAGAATGAGCGGAAATTCCTCTTCGACTAGTGCTGTGAAGCCTGGAATTGACCGCGCTCGCGTGGCCTGCAAAGCGTGCAGGTCCAGACGGGTCAAATGTGACGCAGGGGACGCTCATCCCTGTTGGCAATGCCGGACACGCCAAATCCCTTGCGAGCTTGTAGAATCCAGGAGGGGCAAGTAGGTGTTTCCGCCCAGGTCGATGAACTCTTTCTCTTGAAATGAAGCTCACAGCGCGCCAGATATATTCGTAAAAAGCGCAACTTACAACGTAATGAACATGAACCCCAGGCTCAATCTTCACAAGTACACCCCGGGAGAAATGGACAGAACTTGGCCGAGCAAGAGCCAGAAGCCCCGACCGAAGTTTTCATCGAAGACGGCAGCTTCACTAACAGCCCCGTCACGTCCGATGGAATCAGTAACGATGGTCAAGCTCAACCAAGTCAAACACAGCGAAATCAAAGGCAACATCCCTGTTCAGTAGATCTGAGTCTGTCTTATATCGTCGAAGTTGTCCACAGACCAAAAGATGGCTCAACCGAGCCCGTCAAAGTCCACTATCCTATCCCGGCTTGCATCGCAGACCAGTCAGCCTACAATCATGTACCCAAGGTCATAGAGACCATTTCCCTTCAGGAGGCCCTCACAATGCCGGCTCCACACATTGCGGACCAACTCATTCGCCCTTTCTTCGAAATCATGCACCCGGCTTATCCCGTATTCGACCGGGAGAACTTCTCACGACAGTACCGCCAAGGCCAAGCATCGCCTTTGGTCCTGCAGGCTATGTTCCTGCTCGGTTTCACGGTGTGTGATGACAGTCTCATTGAGGAAGCTGGCTTCAGTGACCGAGCTACTGCGAGGAGAACACATTATCTCCGCGCCAAAGCTCTTTACGATGCGGAGTACGAGAGTGATCACATGAATCTTGTGGCTGTTATGCTGCTTCTAGGTTTCTGGTGGGCTGGTCCGGAAGACCAAAAGGATAATTGCTACTGGGTCAATTGTGCCGCGACTATGGCTCAGTCCCTCGGCATGCACAGGTCGTATGTTGCAACTGGCTTATTGCCTTTCTCTCGATAAAAAATGGATGCTCATAATGTTCAGGATGTCACACTCGGTCTTGAGTCCACGGATGCGATCACTAAGGAAAAGGATTTGGTGGGCCATCTACGTAAGTCGAATATATATATTAGTTGGCTGACTGAAGTTGACCATCGCACTTTCCTAGACCCGCGATAGACACACCTCTGCAGCATTCGGCCGACCATGTCGGATTCGTGATGAGGACTGCGATATAGAGCCTCTGACCGAGGAGGACTTTGAGTTCGATAAGAACGGCGATGAGAGACTGATACCTGCTCAGCACAAGTACCACGTATCATATGTCATGGAGATGGCGAAACTAACTACGATATGTGAGCGTCTGCCCTCGGGTCTCGACAGATGACCCCTCAACGTATTTCGGTGCGAACCTAACATGAAATTCCACAGTGGGAGATATAATCGTTGCAGAGTTCAGTCCACGCCGTGCTCTAATTGAGAAATATGAAGCAAAATCGCTAAAAAAAGAACTCCGCCGTTGGAATTCAAGTCTCCCGGCGCACCTGAGCCCGGCGCCGCTCGATGGCTCGGTCGGCGCTTCGTTTTGGGCCAGCATGGTTCAGTTCACCTACCAGTAAGCGGCCCTAATTGATCTTAGACTCAGACTTTTGGGTTGACACTCTATAGATACTGCCACATCCTCTTGTTCAGGCCGAAGGCCATCGACAACCTCACGCCTGCAGAGTCAGAAAGAGACAAGCAAGCTCGCATGGCGGCGGATGCCATTACTCGCAATGCAGAAGACCTACTCGCTGCTGAGACTATCAGATCCGCACAGATCCATCTGTAAGGACTATCTAATGAGGTTTGTAATGCCGACTTCTGACAGTATCCAGTGTCCCGACGTTATTTGGCGCTCTTTCCATCCATACCATCGTTATCTGCCGCAAAGATCCGATCCGCCGGCAACTAGCCGAAAACAAATCACGGCAATGCTTGCTGGCTTTGAGTCAGCTGTCAAAGTCTTGGCCTGTCAGGCTGTGGATCTCAAAGTCTTTTGTCAGTCTGATGAGGAGACTTACCGGCCAGGGGTCCATCGTCAATGTAACATCTAGCATCGTGAGTACTCTCAATTCCTCCTCCGCGCTACGTCGCCCTATAGCGTGCAAGTACTGATAAAGTCGAAGCATGGCCCAAACTACCGAACCTTTGCCCCACAGTACGCAGGCGAAGAAGCCAATCCAGCTGTATTAAGCTCGTTCCGTGGCAGTGACGGAGGCATGGATTCTGCAGGCCTCAATCCATCTCAGCCGGAGGCACCATCAGGTAACGAGAACCTTCATCAGGCCACTGATCAAATGTTTTATGACACTTTCTGGGCGGACTACCTGGATAACACTTTTGATGTTGATCTTCTCATACACTCTCATTCGGGCTTTCCTAGCAATCCTTCCGGGTAGTAATGAAAGGTTGTTGGTAGTTGAATAGAGAGAATCCGCTGAGAATTCTTGAGGACCACTAGAAGACACTCTATCAATATGATAAAGCACAAACAAGAACTTAAGTATATTCATCCGTGATTGTGATTCAGACGAACTTTTTCTTCAAGGTTTGGTCTGGTTAGACTCCACGCTTGACTAGATGCAGGTTCCATCAAAGCCCCCTTTGTGTACATGCCCATATCCTGCTATATCGAAATCGAAATGAGGGAAACAACTGCTGGATCGTTTCATGTTCTTGTATTGGGAAGTCCCATACTGTGAAGGACTGACGCTCTATATAGGTTGAACGTAGCACTGAGTAGGTCGTCTGATCTGGGCATCTGTCGATCCATATGTACTCAGGCGACTCTCCAGCTCAGGGAACTTGAAGCTAAAAAGGAGCATGCTTATCATAAACTTCATTTCCAACAACGCAATCTTTCTTCCGAAACAACCTCTCGCACCAGTCGAAAACGGCAAAGATGGGCCCGCAATGGCATTGAACGTACCATCGGAACGCATCCATCGTTCCGGCACAAACTGATCTAGGGGTGCCAAGTTGGTGTCCCAGCGTTTGTATTTCCTTTCACTACCGTAATCTGAGTAGTATTCCTGTAAATGGGAGGGTCCGCCTGTAACTAGAAGAACGGGGGTGCCAGCCGGGATGTCGACTCCTAGGATCTGACACCTAGTGGTTGTTTCTCTGAATGCCACAGGGCCAGGATATGATACACGGAGGACCTCGGCAATAAAAGCGTCCAGGTATGGCACGTCTGTTGAAGCGATATCGGAAGCAGTTGGGAGACCAGATTCATCGAGCCCGAAAGCGTCAACGAGGGCGCTTCTCAGGCGTGCTTGCACAGCCTGGTTGTCTGCCAGATGCTTCAGCGCCCATCCGAGCCCGGCGCTCGTTGTCTCATGACCAAAGATGAGGAATTGAAATAGCTCGTCCCTGATCTGGTCTTGAGTTGAGGGGTCGATGTAGAACAACGAGTTCCTTTTCAAGACTTCCTGTAAGCCGCATCTTGGATGTCTCTGATTCCCATTTTGACTCTGAATGCGAACAAGCGCAGCATTGATCTCAGAGTTGAGGATGTTTGTGACGGCAGCCTGGGCACGTCGGAAGTATGAGAGCTGACCTATAACCCACTTCGACAGACGCACACTGATGCTCGTCGTCACCCAGTTGAGACATTGGAGCAAGATTTCCATTGAGTGAACCAACAATGGACCATCCTTGCATGGTTCAAGATCTCCTTTGTTTAGTGATTGAGCTTTAGGGTTTACTCTTTGCATCTCTTGTTGGAGCATGCCAAGGTCTGAGCCCAATGAGATTGCGCCAATGGCGTCTAAAGCGGTTGATTTGAGGTCATCTGTGGCTCTGAAAGGTTGTTGGTTGTTGGCCTTGGACCTGAGCTTCCACAAGTCGATGAGTCGTGATATAGACTCATGGAACCTAGGAGCAGCGACATCATGGAGGAACTGCGAAGAAGAAACAACGCCCCATAACCGTCTTTGCGACTTTAACTTGTCATTTGTCCTCATACTGAACGTCGCGTTCGGCATGATGAAGCCAAACATGTCGTGGATGAGCGACGCCCTGTCCATCTCACCCAGTTTCCTCATGGCAATTTCCTCAATCTCTGGTAGGTCAGCCAGAATCACAGTGGGTCTCCTCAGCGAGAAGGTCGGGAGGAATATCTGCACGATCGGTGACTTGAGATCGAGGGATTCCCGAGAGAACCAGCTGAATGCCTCGCCGCTCAGGAGCCAGTAAGTGCCGAGGGGGGCGAGGTGTCCAGCTGGCATCCATCGCCATCTCCGTTTGTAAGGGATGCCCGGGATTGGGGGCGGTACCGTCAGGTGGATGATGAGAAGGTAGAATGAGAGTGAGACACCGACGACCAACGCCAAGGTTGTCTTCTGGATGTCGATATCGGGGGCCAAGCCCCAGAATGCTCCACTGCCGGACATTTTTGAAGGATGGAGATGCCGGTATCAAACATTATGAAGATGAAAAAAACATGGGTGTACGACCACCTGAAATGGAAATACGAACTTCCAGGTTGGAAGATGTCCAACCGACTTGCTGCAGACAATCACAAAAGAGCGAATGGTCAGTGGCGTCCTCGGCGAAGACCCCAAATTGTGACTAGGCAACAGTAAATCCAATAGAGGGGCTCTTTAGCGGCTGCGCGGTGAGATAGCGATGCTGTCAACATCATAAGCGCTTGTCTTAGAGTGACAGCAGGTAGGCTGAATGAGAATTGTCTTATTGGTTAGATTTGCACAGCGATTGGCTGACACGGGCTTTGATACTCAATATAGCAAGCTGGTGTTTAGTCGACGCGCCTGAGTTGTGCAGCTTGCATCCTGCGCCGTAAGACGGGGTCTGGATTCGAATCCTTGTCAGCAACTTTCACAAGATTGCCGTCCGCGTGCCGAACCACACATGGGATGACCGCGGTGGTGCCCCCGCAATCTGATTCCCGTCATCCGGATTATGTGAGACCGATGATCGGAAAGGAATTTAGCTTTTTTGATTATCTCCCTTTGTCTTTTCTGCCCACCTGAACTGTGTCGCAAAGTCGAGAGGCATTCTAGGATTGAGAACACGATGATTAGCAACATCGCAACATCACCACCCACACAACCTAGACCCTTTCACGATCTCTTCTCACAGCTCCACATGAGTTGATCATCCGCGTCGATGGTTTAGTGGTAAAATTCTCCGTTGCCATCAAGCAGCGTCGGGGAGCCGGGGGTTCGATTCCCCCTCGACGCAATCTTTTGCATCTTAGAATGATTCTAGTGAGGTTCTTGAGTTTTTTACCTTTTGGTGTAATTGCTATCAACATTTTGATGTGGCAGAGACTTTGAGCTAAGTGGGTTTGAAACTTCAAAGTCTTGCTAGAGAGTCCTCAGTCAACATATGCTTCTGAACCTTTCCTGACCCTGTACGAGGAAAGCTTCCGACAAAGGCAGTCTCTCTCGGAATCTTGAACCGAGCAATCAGTGACTGACAATGGCTGACCAAATCTCCGTGAGTCAGCTGAGAGTTTGGCGCTACAATGACATAGGCACGTCCGGCTTCGCCCCAGAGCTGATCCGGAACGCCTACAACTGCAACATCCAACACCCCGGGATGTTCAGCCAGCGCAGCCTCAACTTCGGCAGGATACACGTTCTCTCCCCCGGATATGAACATATTCTTGCGCCTGTCAATAAGAAAAACGAAGCCATCCTCGTCGACCCGCCCGACGTCACCAGTCCGAAACCAGCCATCTTCAGTGAAGGCAGCCATATTCTCGTCTATTCTGTTCCAATAGCCCGCCGTAACGCTCGGGCCCGAAACTAAGATCTCACCAGGCTTACCGACGGGAACTTCCTGGTCATCTCCGTCCACAACTCGGACCGCCGTCAACGGGCCCGGAAGGCCCACTGAACCGGCCTTGCTGCTAATGAGCTCTGCTGACAGCGGCATTCCAGAACAAGTCCCCATTTCAGTAGATCCATAGCCATCCACCATTCGGACCCCACGACCCAGCCACCACTTGATCCTAGCTGGAGGGTTGGGCGCACCACCTGTGAAGAGCGCCTTCAAGGCTGACCATGCCGATGGTTCAAAATTTGATGCGCCAGCAAGAGCCTCGGCCATTTGAGGCACGCAAAAGTAGTGAGTGACGCCGAGCTGCGCATCGCTGAGGCGAGCATTGGTTGCTTCGGGGTGAAACTTGGAAGAGACGATGAAGGTGCCACCTCGCATCAATGAGGGCCATATCTGGGCGATGAGCCCCATGAAGTGGAACATGGGACCGTCGCACAAGAAGACGCTACCCGTATCGACTTCTGTCAAGATGCTAAAGTTGAATGTCGTCGCCAAGATACTCTGACCGGTTAACATAACTCCCTTAGGCGCCCCAGAGGTTCCGGACGTGTATAGAATGATGCACGTCTCGTGCAGAGGCCGCGCATTCAACCGAGGGCCAGGCTCTGCAGCATCCACGCTCGCACAGAACGTCGAAAACCCAATGTGGCGACAACCAAGAGGCAGTTCCGGTGGGTCGTCGTGATCTGTGAAGAGAATGGTCGGGGTGCAGTCGGCCAACAGCTTCGCGAGTTCGGGCCGGGCGAGGCGATAGTTCAGCGGGACATGGATTGCGCCCAGCCTCATCAGTGCTTGTTGCAGAATGATCTGATGTACATTGTTGACCGATATGATCGCCACTCTGTCACCGATCTGGACCCCTTGCTCGGATAGGACCGCGGTTGCGCGTTGGATGTCGGCGTTGAGTTCCACATACGTCCATCGGCGGCTGGTTGCGAGGTCGATGCAGGCCAGACCGTTCGGCCGTAAGCGTGCATGCAGTTGCACTGGGTCCGGAGCGTGAAATTCCATCAGTACGCTGACGTTTCTGTATCAAAAGCTTGGAAGTCTAGAAAAAGTTGAAGAATCAGAATGAGATATGTTGTGCGGCGTTGGGCTCTTATCGACGAACCGTATTTTCGGTGTAAAAGTCTCCAGCGAGTATTGCGATGTGACTTCGGAGAGGGAGTAACCGCGGATGATCGTCACTTCGTCAACAACCCTTGTCGCATATGATGTCGTCTTGATGATTGGAGCGTCAGATACAATAGCCGATTTTCCGAAGGGGCAAGTAAGTATGAAGAAGCGTAGAAATTATGCCGGACTGTGAAGGCGTTGCCGAGTGTCCTCCTCGTTGATTATATGAACAATTTGCCGTTTATCAATAGTCAGTTGAGACAGCAAACGCCCGGCGATGTTCGGAGTTGTTTCCAAATTTTTGTTCTTCAACTGCGGTGACTATGTTTGCCAACGTGCAGAAACCCATTGTTCCATAATATCTTGCAACCCATTCGGTATGCGGGCACGAGGAGTCGGACTCTCCCTCGCCAACATGCAGGTCGCAAATGGTGTGGGTGGGGGATGGCAACCTCTAAAGCGCTGTGCCGTACAACTCTTGATCCTGCGCATCCTACCGATGTTGTGCTGCAGCTCGACAAAACCACGCATTCCTCCCATTTTGGAAAAAATGTCATAGGGGTTCATCCCGCAAGAAGATGGTGTGTTGACGCATTTTCGACACTCACAACCAACAAGTCTGCACTATGCATTTTTTGTGGATTCAGTAACCAACGAGGGGGCAGACTTCACCTCAGCTTTGGTGAGAACTTTGAAAGATATCCACCACACTGAAGTCCCGTCTGACCTAAGATATGGAAAGCCGTCGGGCTGTGAGCTTAAAGCGGTTGGATCGTTGGGTCGACTTCGTGTTCCTGCTGTGCCGTACCTCTCCCGACCGAATCAGCTTCATGAATAACGCAGGCCACATGAACAGATGTGCGGACCTCGGAAGTTTCCTTTACGTACCGATTCGCGATGATGACTGTAAAGAGCACCGGAAAGGAGCCAATGTAATCAAGTTTTCATGAATTAGCCGCCATCTCTTTGCATGCCGAGACTGACGCTATTGGAATGTCAAAGGCTGATTCACCCTTGGACTTCTTAGCCTCGAAATAAGCCATGTCTCTTATTTCGGTAACATTTTAGCAGATTTCGTCGAGACAGAACCACAGAGCTGTCAGAAGAGCCAGCATATAATCAAGCAATGTGTCTGTTGTAACATTTACGAGAGAAATATAGTGAGGGAGCGTGGACTGCTTCAAGAAATCCAACACATCAACTAAGCACCATGACCAATAGCACCAAACCCGCAATGAATGGTATCTGCGATGAAAGTCATCAAGGAGAATGCTCTTATGAGCCTATCGCCATCATAGGCATGGGTATGAGACTCCCAGGACGCGTATATAACGCTACCGACTTCTGGGACCTCCTCGTCAACGGCAGAAGCGGGCGTTGCCGAGTTCCAAAGAGTCGTTATAACGTCGACACCTGGTACGGCCGTGGAAAAGCTGCTCACGTGCCCAGCGAGTTTGGCTATTTCCTCGATGACATCAACCTAGCACATGTAGACCCTAGCTTCTGGTCATTCACAAAACAGGAGGCCGAACTTATGGATCCCCGGCAACGCCTTTTCCTCGAAGTTGCCTACGAGGCCCTTGAGAACTCTGGCTCGACTAAGTGGAGAGGACGGGACGTTGGGGTCTACGTTGGAACTATGGGAGATGACTGGAATCAGCTTGAGTCCCGTGACAGTCAAAGTCTCCAACAGGTTCGCCCTGATGTGTATGGAGACTACATCATTGCCAACCGCGCGTCTTATGAGTTTGATCTTACAGGACCGAGGTGAGTCTTCAATCATGGGGTTTCCCTCCGCAATTTCTGACAAAATTTGCAGCGTCGTTGTTCGCACTGCATGTTCCGCATCTCTTGTTGCACTGCATCAGGCATGCCAAGACCTCCACAGCGGAGACTGTTCATCTGCCATAGTTGGGGGTGTCAACCTCATCCTCAGTCCCAAAGACACCTTCATTATGCAGCAAAATGGGGTCTTGTCTCCATCAGCAGCATGCAAAAGCTTTGACGCCGAAGCAGATGGCTTCGCACGCGGTGAAGGTATATCTGCCATTTACATCAAGAAGGTGTCGGATGCAGTACGCGATGGCGATCCTATCAGGGCAGTTATCCGGTCAACATGCACTGCCGGAAATGGCAGAACCCCAGGGCTGACGACGCCGAACCCTGAAATCCACGAAAGACTCATGAGAAGGGGACACAAGATGGCTGGGATTGCCGACTTGTCCAAGACTGCAATGGTAGAGTGCCACGGAACTGGTACTTTTGTAAGCTTTATAGCGAGAACTTCTGAAGAGATGTCAATTTTGCTAATAGAATGTTTCGATACTTAGGTTGGGGATCCTCTGGAAGTCAGCGCAGTGGCCAACATTTGGGGTGACCACGGTATTTACATCGGCTCAGTATGCAATCGAATGTCATATAAAACTTTTCGAGATTGAGTACTTACATGATCTATTAGGTTAAACCAAACATCGGTCACGGCGAAGGGGCTTCTGGGTTGTCCAGCGTGATCAAGATAGTTCTAGCATTGGAGAAATCCACCATACCACCAAACATCAACTTCAAAACTCCTAATCCTCGAAGTGAGTGACTTTGAAATGAAGAGCAACTAGACACAGTTACTGATCAAAATTTTGCCTCAAGTCCCATGGAAGAGTGCCAAACTCAGAGTTCCAACACAGCCAACACCCTGGCCATCTGACAGAGATCAGAGAGTCTCCATCAATAGCTTTGGTATCGGTGGTTCCAACGCTCACGTGAGTATCCAATGTGATGTATCTAGAGTCTCCAGCGAGAAAATTTGAGCTGAAAACTTGTGTTCCATAGGTTTTGCTAGAATCGGCCTCTTGCTTTGGTCTATCAGCTTCCACCCTTACCAACGGCTTGAACTCAGGGCCCAACGTTCCAAGACAACAATTCCTGCCATTTTCTGCCAAACATCCTGAGTCAATCAATGCTTTAAGCCAAAAGGTTCAGACTTATTTGAGTCACAACCCTGGAAGCTTGGGCAACGTCGCACACTCATTGGCATCTCATCGAGAGATTCACCCATATCGAGCTTTCTGTGTGACCGACGGCATGAGTACCTTTCAGATCTCATCAGTTATGAAAGCGGCAACGGCATCGCCTGATGTAGTATGGGTATTCACGGGCCAAGGAGCTCAATGGGCTCAAATGGGCAAAGAGCTTCTAGAACAAGAGGGCTTATTTAAAGACAGGATTGATGCCATGGATGGAGTTCTTGCAGGTCTGCCTGACCCTCCCCCATGGACATTACTAGGTTGGTGCTATTTATGAAACTCGCTGAAAATACGCTAATATATTGGACCACCCAGAACTGCTTTCTGCTCCGAAAGGAGAGAGTCGTCTCCACGAAGCAGAGTTCTCGCAGCCATGCTTGGTAGCGATCCAAGTTGCGCTTGTCGACTTGCTTTGCTCTTGGAACGTTGTGCCAGCTGCAGTGGTGGGACATTCTTCAGGCGAGACCGCTGCTGCCTATGCGGCTGGTTCAATTACAGCTGAAGAGGCTATCTTGATTGCCTATCACCGCGGTCAGATCACTCGTCTCATCAAAGCTGCACACAATGGCAGCATGGCAGCAATTGGTCTCGGCCGGAAACAAGTTGAGCAGTTTCTTCGCCCAGGTGTCATCATCGGTTGTGACAACTCTCCGTCAAATGTCACTTTGTCAGGCGAGAGCGATATTCTTAGAGAGATTATTCTGGACCTCAGCTCTAAGCACCCGGGTGTTCTCGCTCGGAAGCTCCATGTTGAGTGCGGATACCACTCTCGTGAGTCGTTTTCATTCCGCTTCTGGTGTATCATGATCGCCCGACTAATACCTACCGTAGATCACATGAAGACTGCCGCCGCCGACTTCACATCCCGTCTGGAGGGACTGCTTGAGAACAAGGAGCCGCAAATTCCATTTTACTCGTCTGTGACAGGAGAGAAGAACACAGACATGTCTCACACATATTGGGTCCGCAACGTCATCTCGCCTGTTCTGTTCAATTCAGCGGTACAAGGAGTCCTAGATGATTTCAAATCTCCAGTTTTCGTCGAGATTGGCCCGCATTCCGCCCTTGCCGGACCTATTCGTCAAATCCTGAGCTTCAAAAATATGCCTGCTCAATACATATCGACGCTGGTGCGCAATCAGGATGCCGTTTCAGCCGTTGTAAAGACTGGGGGAGATCTTTGGTTGGCCAGCGTCAATATTGACATGACTGCAGTCAACCCATCGGGACATTTTCTAACAGATCTTCCGACATACCCATGGCACTATGATGAGGAGTATTGGCAAGAGAGCAGACTTTCTCGCAGTTGGCGCTTCAGAACATTCGACCATCACGAACTTCTCGGCTCTCGCGTCGAGGAGATTTCGGACGCCTGCCCTGCTTGGAGGTGTATCTTACGGCTCGAAGATGTTCCATGGCTGCAGGAACACGTCATTCGGGACAACATCACACTTCCTGCCTCTGGTTTCATTTCTATGATAGGAGAGGCCCTGAGGCAGCTCCACGGGTCCGTGGACTTTACACTGGAAGCTGTGTCCATGGAGGCAGCTTTAATTCTTGATGAAAAGCCACTCGAGGTTGTGACGATACTCAATCCAACAAGGTCAAAAACTTCGAGCAAGAAGATCGTTTACGATTTCTCGATCTCTTCACTTGCAGATGAGAGCAAAGTATCGGTCCGCCATATCTTTGGTCAGTGCAGACCCGGCTCAGATCTGAGGCGTGCTGTCCCTGACATGCCTGTCCTACCACGCAAAACTTCAGCAAACTCATTCTACAACACTTGGAAAAGGCATGGTCTGAACTACGGCCCGAACTTTCGGGGCCTTTGCAACGTCAGTTCCCATGTTCGCGAAGCCAGGGCTTTTGCAACACTGGATAGCAAGGTCGCAGATTACACCAATTCAGCCTATGCAATTCATCCAGCAACTCTCGACACAAGCATGCACGTGGCCATGATATCCGAGTGCCGTGGTCTGGAGCGAAACTTTCGGGGACTGGTTGTGCCTACTTACATCCAAGAGGTATATGTCGCACGACCAACTGGACAGATCAATGTTGTTGCAAGTGCCGATACCAAGGCTGACTTAACTGCCACGAGTAAAATTGTTGGAGTTTCCGACGGACAAGTCGTGATCGAAATCTCTGGCTTGGAAGTCACTCAACTCAGTGGAGTTACCAACGACGAAGAAGCAGATGATCCTCACGCTGGTGTCGTTTTGAAGTGGATGCCAGACATCAACTTCACGAAGCTGACTCAAGTATTTCGCCGTCGGGAAATGGATCCCAGTTACAACGTTTTAAATGAACTTGTCTTGGCCTGCATCGTTGATCTGAGAACTCAGCTTCAGTTCCTTCCTGCCACGCAACCGCACTTTGTGAACTACAAGAGTTGGCTCGATGCGTCATATCGCGAGGCTATGACTGGGCAGTACGCAGATGTCCTCAACGCGTTTGACATCGCGACGATGAATCACAAGATAAGGCTCGAGGCTATCGGGAAAATGACAGAGTCTTGCAAGCGGACTCCTGCGTTGGACGCCTCTGTGTCGATCTTTCGCGTGCATACCTTTGGCGCAGACTGCTTCTCCGGATTGCCCCATGCGATTAAGCCACTCATACAGCCCAGCCATTTCGATGGAGCTGCCAATCTCATAGCTGATGTGGATTTCACCGACTTTGTACAACTACTAAGGCACAAGAACCCGGAGTTGAGAGTTTTACACATAGGCGTAAGAGAGAGCGATGACTCGCTATCGAAGTTGTTTTACTCCGACGACGTCAAATTTCCATATGGAAGTTACGTTTATACCGGTGCTTCCTCAAAGCCGCCGCAATCTCTGGGGAACCGCTTTGAGTCAGCACCAGCTGTTACCTACAGGCAGTTGGTGATTGACATAGATCCATCATCGCAGGGCTTCTCGGAAGAATCTTTCGATCTCATAATCTCCGAACCTACGCTATCCTCTTTCTCGAGCGTCTCCATAATCAATATGCGAAGACTGCTCAGTCCGCGAGGTCACCTGGTTCTTCAACACGCGAATCCCGAGTCCAGGGTTCTCCGGTTCGCATACGGGCTATCTACCAACTTCGATTTCGGCTACGGCTCCTTGGGTAGTCCTGACATATTGCTCAACCAATTAAGTCACGCTGGCTTCGACAATGCCTCAACCTTTACCTTCAAGGGAGAGCATGGTAGGGTCACTGTCGCCACACCATTTGCTGACTTCTCAAAGATGAGTAAAGCCAGCATCATCTGTCAAGACCCAAGTCATCATCTGGTTGTTGCAGCAACACGAGACTTAGAATCCCGCGGTATTTGCCTACAGTTCTTTTCTCTTGGACAGGAGCTGCCTTATGGTCAGACTGTCGTGTGTTTGCTGGATCTAGAGGGTCCCTTCCTTCATGACATGGATAGCATCCAGTGGGAAAACCTCAAGAAGTCTTTGTCTTCTGCGCAGGATGAGAGGTTTCTTTGGATTACCGCAGCCTCTCAGATACACTGCAAAGACCCAAGGTACTCTTTGACACTGGGTATGACCCGCAGCATCCGGAGAGAATTGTCGATTGACCTGGTCACCCTTGAACTGGAATCTTACGACACCAGCGGATGGAATGCCATGACGACTGTCTTCGGGTCTCTTGGCGACCGTAACAGCACCGACAGTACTAGGCCGGATTCTGAGTATGTTTTCTCTGGTGGGTCAATTCAAATATGTCGATTTCACTCTGTCAAGGTTTTCGACGACCTACGAGAGCGATGCGAGGGTGCGCCCAAGGTTTTGAGAAGGAAGAAGCTCGGAATTTTGCAATCTTTGACATGGGAAGAATCAGAAGCCGCGATTCTGAGCGATGATCATGTTGAAGTCTCTGTAAAAGCTGTTAGTCTCAACGCAGAGGTATGTCACATCTGAAAGATGCAGAAAATAACTTGAAAAGCTCGGAACACTGACCATATGATTAAGGACTCAAAGTTCTCATCGGGTTACTTTACAGATAGCAGGAGTGGTTGCGCCGAAATTGGCCTTGAAGGTAGTGGTGTTGTGACAGCCGTCGGGTCAAAGGCCTGTCGATTCCGAGTGGGTGATCGTGTTGCGTTCAACTCCACCAGCTGCTTGGCTACCACGATCACCGTCCCCGAGGGGCTTTGTGCAGATATTCCACACGCAATGACATTTGAAGAGGCTGCTTCGTATCCTTACTCTTATAGCACGGTGCTCCATGGACTTATGGAGCTTGGCAGGTTGAGGAAGGACCAGGTAGGCTTTTCTCCTCGAGCTCAGAATCATTCGGGAATTTCGCTGACTCTCTAGACTCTTCTGATTCATTCGACGCCAGGTGCTCTTGGGCTGGCTGCTATCCAAGTCGCAAAAGTGGTCGGCGCAGAGGTAAGTTCCATACGTCCATCCTCGCGCAGACTTATTCGGGACGAAAGTCTGACTTAGTTCCGCATTAGATCTTCTGGACGACCAAAAGCTCAACACAAGCCCTTTATATCCGGAAGTTATACGGTATTCCAAATAACCGTATCTTCAGCTCTGATACCAGCTCATTTGTGCCTGACATTTTACACCAGACGAACAGTCTGGGTGTGGACATCGTCTTCAGCACGCATCCTGAGTCAATGCAAGAGACTTGGGCATGTCTCAAGCCGTTTGGAACGATGGTACAAGTCCGCCATGGAGGAGGTCGAATCGCGGATACTTTGAAGAGTTCTCGCAACCGAACTTTAGTAAACATCGACCTCGAGGAACTGAGAGTTCACCAGCCCGAGGAGAGTACTCAGTAAGCCCCTATTCCTGGACCCCAGGCTTGAGATCTTCCATATCTGAAGCTCAATGCACTAACGTGAGAACTCGCAGTCTTCTGGAGCAGGCATTCATGTTCCACAAGTTTGGACTCAACAAGCCCTCGCAGCCCATCACAGTCTTTCCAGCTTCCGATATACCGTCGGCTTTCAAGTATTTGCAAAGCGAAGGTAGGGTCGGCCAAGTTGTTATTAAGATGCCTGACAGCAAAACAGAGCTGCAAGCTTTTCCTTTACGACAAAGCATGGCTCTCCGTTCGGACAGAACCTATGTCATCGTCGGCGGTCTAGGAGGGCTGGGTCAAGCCACGGGAAGATTTCTCATCGAAAAAGGGGCTCGTCATTTGATATTCTTTTCCAGATCTGCCACGGATGTTGCCCACTCAGTATATTTCAAGGAGCTTGAGTTTCTAGGCTGCACGGTCCAAGCCGTTTCTGGTAGTGTGAACGAGATCACGGATGTGGTAAGGATGGTTGACTCAGCGACTACTCCAATTGCCGGTGTGTTACACGCTGCAATGGTACTCCAGGTATGTCCTGCTTCTGGCATTCTCAGGTTTCTGAATAAGTACTTACTACGTCCCAGGATGTTCACTTCGCCGATATGACTTTCGAGCAGTGGCAGACTACCGTCTCCCCAAAAGTACAAGGAACTTGGAACCTCCACTACGCCCTTCAATCACAGAGAGATCCCCTTGATTTCTTCTTCCTCTTTAGTTCCCTCTCAGGTTTAGGAGGACAAATTGGCCAGGCCAACTACGCTGCTGGAAACGCATTTCTCGACGCGTTTGTTCAGTACCGGCATTCCCAGGGCCTAGTATGTTCTGTGCTCGATATCGGCATCATGGAAGACATCGGTATTCTCGCTAGGGAGGCCAATCGCCTAGAAGCTCTTCGCTCAACCTCTCAGCATTGTCTTCATGAGCAGGACCTCCTTGATGCCATGGAGCTGATGATCGGAAGATCTCATGCAAAGAAGATGTATACGCCGCCCTTATTGCATTCGATGGAGAGCTACTCGAACCCAAGTCAGCTTGCCATAGGAATGCGATCTTCATCTTCGGTAAACAGAACCGGCTGGCAGCAAGATCCACGCGCCGGGTTTCTAGCAAAGACTGTGCCTGTAGACGGTCCTATCAATCAGCACAAATCAGAAAGCACTCTGAAAAACTATCTTCAGAGATGTGTGTTGGATCCTTCGCAGCTAGAATCTGACGAGGCGAAACACTTCCTGGCTGTGGAGATTGGGGCCGCGTTGCGAGGCTTCATGATGCTCCAGGATGAAGAAGTCGATCTGACAAGGCCACTACAAACGGATTCCTTGGTCACTGTAGAGCTTCGAAACTGGCTGAGACAAAAAGTTGGTGTAGTCCTCAATGTTCTCGAGATGAAGAGTGCAGCGAGTGTGATCGCGCTGGGTGGTTTGGTAGCGGTGAGGCTTTCGGCCGCGTACAAGAATCGCGTGCAAGACGTTGGTGTCATTTGAATAAATCACTTTAGTTAAAGATTGAGACAGGTTTGCTTCAGAAACATTCCCTATCTGAGGTACGGAAAAGACATCATTTTGGATGTCATGTCCAATCTCATGTCACTCTCGTTCTAAGATTAGAGCTTCAGTTAATAAGCACCCACAAAGATTGTAAGGTTTTTTTTTGTGCTTTGCCCCGTCAATGCCATATGAAACGTTCATAATTACCAAACTATTTGATATTAATATCCGGGCGGCATGGAGTTGAAACCGGCGCCTGGTCATTGCCTGTTCATCACGACGAGAATCGGTTTCCGCTGAGGCTAATGGCATATTTGCACGAAAATTGTTTCTCAGATTCCTAATTGTAAGTATTCATGATCGTAAACTCCGCCTCCGGAGACACCGGGACGGCGGGTCGGCCCTCTAGAGAGTAATATAATAAACTTCCGCACTTGATAGAAAATGCCTGAGAATCCATTGCTCGTCACAAAGTTTGACCGGCTGATGTTTGCAAACGAGCTGTAGGTATTAATCTCCCGTTTCCATAATAGACTTTGTGATAGAAGTCTATGAGTGGCGAACCATGTCGTATACTACTTGATCATTGATCAACACGACGCTCAGCCCTTCGTGGGTCCTAGCCGCCCACCTGAAAGCAGATGCCGTGAGGCCGACTACCTAATTGTATAAAGTACCTAGACTAATCGCACTGATCAGTGACGCCAATCTGCTTCAATCTTGAGCGAAGTAAACATTGACCATCGTCAGATCAACATAATCAAATGAGTCGCAATTACTTATTCCTTGTGGTCCTTTGTTGGATCGCTACCCATGCGGCCATGGCGGCTAGGGTAGCGGTTGTCTTAACGGACTCAAAGATGGACGACAAGGCCGGCGTCGCTGTCACCCTCATGAAAACTGATGCCGAGAACCCTACAAAACCCCAATACGACCGCGTCATCTTAGTATTTACAGGCGCCGAAGAACGAAGCAAAATGGGCCTTGCGATGTCCGAGTATCTCACCCGCGCCGAGAATCATCAGCCCGCTTTACCAGCTGGGTGGGAAAAGCGAACTGCATGGCTTCAGACCAGGACGAATGTTCTGGGTCAGGCAGTACCTCACGAAAGCTGGTACAGAGACCTTCGACCGACCAGAGAGCTCCCCGTGGCAACTGGAGAGTCTTTAGCAGCAGAAGTTGCCAAGGTTGGCAGGGGTTCTTCCGTCGACATCTTCCAGGTTGCGCCCTGCGAAGATAATGACGTCTGGGAATTCATCGATGCATTGCCCAACATCAATATATATCATCTTTTCTTTGGTTATAACTCCCGGCAAGGGATCGCCACCGATAACATGAGCCGAGCAAGTAAACTAGCTCTATCACAGAGGCAAGTCCAGTTTCACAAGACCCTCCAGGCCCGCCTCAGCGACAAGCATCCCAGCGCTCGGGTGATCTTCACCCAGAACGTCCCATCTTTCGCCAACGCTGGAGCCGGTTCTCAGGTTCTGTCCTGGTGCAGGAAGTATTTCCCTGAAAAAGATATCTTAATGGCGCTGCGTGATCCTTTCTGGACCGGCCTCATCACCCTAGCCAACAAGTACGCAGACGACGCGACGACACTACGACAGATGCCCGATTCGCCTGAAGAATTCATGACTCAGGTTGTGTCATCTCGATTGGAGGAGACGACTCTACGAGTCCAAATCTTGAACATGCTCAAGAGTGCTGTTTCGAGCCAACAGTTTGCACAAGACTCACCAAGATGTAAGTCATTGTCAGCTTTATTTCAAGAGAACAATATGACTAAGGCCCATTCTCTAGCTTACTCACGTGTTCGCGACATCCTAGTCGAAGAGTTTACCGGGAAACCAGCGCCAACCCTAGAGCTCGGAGATGCGAATCACATGGCAATTGTCATGCAATATCTCGACAACGAGAACAAGGACCGTAGTAGTAACGTGATGAGACTTCTACCGGCCCTGTGCGACACAAGTGAGGAAAACCCGACTCAACCTCCCCGGGTCTCAGCAGGAGCATCGGCTGCTCAAAGTCCAGATGGATGGGTCCTTGCGGGTTGCGACATCCAAGAGACGAGAATGTACATAGAAGGGCTATTCAAGAAGAATGCGCTGCCGTGATTAAACTTGTCTGGGGGACATAATGATTATTAAGGTAGTTTGGAAAGTTCTTTTCGCATCAGAGCCGATTTAGAAGTGCTCATACAGCCTTCACTGTGCACGCCGATTAAAATTCTCTATATTCTAGGACTATCTTCGCCACTTTATATTTTGTCGTGAAGCGCAAATTTACTCTTTCCTCTGAGAGCTTTCCCGTACTTGAAGAAAAGCCAAGGGAATGGCATCATGGCAACGGTAAGAAATGCAAGAAGACTTGTTGCCCACTGGTGGCCGAGCTTATCGTACATTTGTACGCCAAATAATGGAAACGCAGCTGGGATCATCGCATAGAGTCAGAAAACTGAAAAGTCCGTGACGATTAAGAAGACAAGACTTACCTGAGAACAAGCACCTTGTCAGTCCGTTGGACGCCAACGCTGATGCAGAATACTTTGCGTATGCATCAATCTGAAAGCATGGTCAGTACATGAAACGTATAAGATAGAAAAACACAAGTTCAACATACGAGAAAGGTATAGATGCCAGTGAAGGCTAGGACCGTTCTGTAGATCGATTAGCTTTTCATCTAGTAAAGAGCTCCCTCGTCTCTAGTGAAGAAATCACTAAGAAGGAAGAAAAGATTTGGAAATCTTCTCGATTCGATTTGTGCATGTTCATCGTTGTGATCAGACTTACCCGCAGCCGAAAACGCCAGACCCAACGATGGGAACTATCCAATGTATATCGGAACTTATCGTCCAGCCGAACCAGAATAACCCGATAGGTATCAAAAACCCACCCAACATAGCCGGTGGTAATCGAAACTCCGGCTCACTAGCCCCGTGCTTCTCCACCAGTCGCGTGCGGATGTTGGACCAGACTGGTGATGATGCTGCAGCCAAACACATGCCGACAATAATGCCAAGGAATGTAAGACCACCTTGCCATAGGTTCATTCCATATTCCTCTCGGAAGACTCGTGGGAACGCCAGGAAGAACAAATACAGTATGGCCAACAGAATAGCTGAGTATACGTTGAGGCAGAGGCACATAGGCTCCAAGAAGTTGAACTGCAAGGGCCGTAGCATGGAGGCTGCTATGATGGAAGCCTTTGACGGCTGAACAGTTCCGCTCTTCTTCTCCATTGGCGCTCGATATCGGTCGTCGCCAGTCTGCTGGCGGAGGTGCTTAGCCTTCATGTATAACCTGATGGGATGAAAGGTCTCGGGCGTAAAGAACACAATAATGACCATCAACATCGAAGACCAGATGATCATGATATAGTATGTCCATCGCCAGTTGATGTTATAGTTGATGAATCCGCCAACTATGGGACCCACGCAAGGCCCCATGAACGGTACTAGCGACACGAGGGACATGGGGTGTTGGATTTGGTGTGGTAGGAAGATGTCGCCCACGGTCCCTCCCGACACCGAGAGGAAGGTACCGCCAAAGGCACCACTGAAGAATCGAGTGACCAGTATGGTTTGAATGTTCTTTGCAACTGCTGATGGAATTGTCGAAAGGATGAAAAGAGACCATGTACCGAGGTAGATGGGACGTCGTCCGTAATACTCACTCAAAGGGCTGATCATTGGAGGTCCAAAGGCAATACCTAAGAGAAACGTTGACAGTCCAAGGGTTGAGACAATAGATGATGTGCCAAATTCAGCGTTCATCTGGGTATACGTGGATGTGTATGCTGAGCTCGTGCAAGTACTGGGTGATCCGATAGTCAGTATCAGCCTGGCTCCATCTGGGATAGACTAGAGACCCCCTACGGGAAATTCTACATGTACTTACACGCAAATCGTTACATTGCATAGTATTGTAACGATGGTCCACTTCCGAAGTAGTGACATGCTGTGTGGACAAAATTGGTCGTCGATCCCATCGAACGATACCTCGAAAGGATCCTGGTCGGTTGGTGGCCATGCCGGAGGCGCAGAATACTTCTCGGCGTCATCGCCCGACTGAGAATCGTAATTATCGCTGTCCATTTGAGCGAGACCTGAGATTCTCGTGTTCATCAATGCTGGGAAGAGAGCTTAAGCCCAAGGTAATCAAGCGGCCGATGTTCTGAACTGAACATAGTTTGAATCGCTCGGTAGACAGAGGAGGCCCGACCTCTATGGCTTAGGATACGGAGCCTGCTTCCTTTTGAAGGCGCGCAACCACGGGAACAAGTTTACAGCGCTAGGCCCCGATGACTCTTGAGTAGATCACAGTGACTAATGGTGGAAAAAGCGAAGCAGCTAGGTCTTTTATCGAGATGTTGACGGCTTTCGGCATTTCGATGAAAAGTGCGGAGAGCCAATGGGAGTATACGGATTTGTCCCATTTTTCAAGACACCTCGGTGTCTTAGGCGATCGGCACAAGTGACCGGACCGAGGCTGGGCTCTTAGCATGGAAATAGTGTCTTTTTCCCATATTCATCATATTAGGCCTCAGAGTCTCGTACAATCCACCAACCTTACGCAGAATGCATTGTACCATTTTTGTTTCCAACTCATGTTGTCGATTCCAAGCTGCACGGCTTCTCAGGTGCAAAACCGATCAGCGGACATTGATCTCAAGACTCGAATACTACAGCTCTTCCGATAGCGATGACTTGTCCAGAGAAGCTTCATCCAACATGGCACTTCAGACTGACTCAGCACCCATCCTCAGTCATAAATGGTTCATAACTGAGACTCACGGGTCGTAATAAACCAAGGTGTCCTGCGCTCCCTCAGAAGCAATGTCATAAAAGTCTTTGCAATCCGAAAAGGAAATCTTGGGCTGCCCGGCGTAAAACTCGTCATACTTGACATCAAGTGCATCTCGGAGGTTCTCGACGCCACCTTCCGGGTGGATGTGCTTCCATGGGAGCCTGCAAGTCTCGGCCTTGCAACTCTTGAGGACTAACAATAGAGCATCGAGACGGTCTTGAACGACGGATAGGGGACGATCGAGCAACTGGCCTGAAGCGCTTCCGGCAAGGTTGGTCATCTGGCCTGGGTCCTTCTGTAACTAGAGTGAGTAACGGGTCATGATTTGTGGAGTCTTCAGAAGTCGGACATACCTTCATGTCGTAGAATTCGCGCTCGTTGCTGCACCAAACTGAGTAGAACAGACTATATCCGTCGCCGAGAACACGCATGGCCTTGTAAGTGTTATTCGCAGATGCTGGTTGAATCGTTAGTGTCTCGTTGCTTTGCGACGACGCAATCGGAGTCAAGTCGACTTACCTCCGCCAAAGGCGTCATACCCGCGTTGAGTGCCCCAAAACTCTACATTGACGTGGTCATGCTTAGGGTCACCCTGGGCTTTTTGGATTCCATCCTCGGAGAAGGGGATGGGAGATCCATCAAAGTCCTCACGCAGGGGGATGTTAGCCAACGAGAAGATCGTGGGAGCAATGTCGGTGTGGGTTGTGACGAAGTCCACATTCTTTCCCTTTGGCACGCCGGGGCCGCGAATCAAGAAGGGCACGTTGATGTCTTCCTCAATGGCGCAAGTCTTTCCTGGCTTCAGACGATGCTGTCCAATGTGGAAACCATTGTCAGACGTGAAGATGACGTAGGTGTTGTCGAGGACACCGGCCTGATCAAGACGCTTAATGACGGCGTCGACCATTTCATCAACGGACTGCAGTGTTTGGAGACGGCGGCGGTAGTAGTTGTCACCGTATGATATCTCAGTGGCGTTCAGCTGGGGGATGATGAGGCCCCAATTGGCCATGCTCGGCTATTAAAGAAGCGTAAGCGACGAACAACCTGAACCAAAGTGTCGATAGTCTTACCTTATCAGGGTTGAAGTTGTAAGTGCGAGGAACAGTCACATTTGAGAAGAGGTTCTCGTGCCTTTTCGCAGGGATGGGCGGCGTCGCACCAGCACTGGTCTCGCCGCCAAGCCCGTTGTTGTGAGGGCCGATCGGTGCAACGCCCAAGAAGAAAGGCTTGCTGCCGTTGAACTTGAGAGCATCGTCCAAGAAGCCAAGAGCTCGTTCAGCAACCAAGTCGTTGCTGTAGTCGCCCGGGAAAGTCTGAGGGGGGCTTTGATTTCTTTGGAACGTCGCATTCAAGTAGAGATAGGTGTTAGGATCCAAAAGGACTAGGCCAGAGTTAGCCATGGAGCCTCGAATTCTAGATTCTTGGACGACTTACAGTCACTCCCAGTCCAGCCCTTGGGAAAAGGATTGTTCCAATTCTCAGTGGAGTGAGAGTTGAAGAGCTTGCCGGTGTAGTATGTGTTGTAGCCAGCGTCCTGAAGCCAGACAGGGAGATACTTGTCGTTGTATCCTTGGGAGACAAACTTCGGGTAGCCACCTATGAGAATGCTTAGGATGCTGTCACTCTATTGGTAGATGACGCTGACAACTTACCGTGAGGGGGAGTGACATATGTGACATTGGTGTTGTGCGCCGCCTGCCCCGTCAACAAGCTGACACGAGATGGACAGCAAATTGCAATCGTGCAAAAGTGCTTGCGGTAGTAAGTTCCCTGCTGAACAAAATGCTTCTGGACATATGGCATGTAGTCAAGGGAACCGAGTTGCTCGTCCTGGTCATCAGTCAAGATGAAGACAATGTTCGGCTGACGCTGCTGCACGTTCTGGGCGACGACAGCGGAGGCCCCAAGGGCCAGTGTCGCCAACCTCGACAAGCTTAGAATTGGCAACATGGTAGGATATGAAGCCAGTCTTCCTGCAACCTCACAAAGATCTACTTCCAAAGCAAGTAGGAACAGAGAAGCCGGCCTGAGATCGAGATATGTGCTCCCAGACACTGCAAAGTAACTTTATATGCCGCGCGTTAAGTGTTGTGAGTGACGCAGCACCTCCATTGCCGGCTCCCACATTTCAGTTGACTACAACGGCAGGAACCTTCCCCCACAAGCTAGCAAGAGAATCAAGCCTGAGCGTGTTGCGGTGTTAGTCTACGGGGCCCCGGTAGCTCGGTGGTATCATTGGTGGGTCGTCGGACGGCGCCCGCCCTTCGGTCGACCAACCGGCTGGGCTCCAGGTCATCAAAATGGGTATTTCGACAATGTCAACGGCATTCGCAATCGGGTCTTGCGATTTCGTCATTTAGTCCGCTAGCCTATTTGAACCACGATCACCACCTTATCATCGTTGAGAAGACCATTATTTCGGAGCTGGTTCCATTCCGAGGTTCAGAGCAATATGTCGGGGCTCCGCTCTAAGCCGAAGAGACAAAATGGAATCTCATGGCAAACGGGAGCTTAAGTTGGTGTATTGCCGCGTAAATCACATAGTCTGTTCAGATTGGAAACGTTCAGATTGTGGTTATTCCATGTCTGCCTTAGACAAGCCTACATGTATTCACACAGTGAGAAGCCATCACCCAAGCGCAGTCATGTATTAGGAACTGTTTATTACCAACAAAGTGGGATCAGGCGAATTTTACCTTGACATTAGACAGAGGCGGTAGAGACTATAAACACGACCTCGATTGATGCAAATGGACTCAGTGATTGAGAGATTGTATCATTCACCCAGTAGGCCATCTGAGCATTTCGTCAGAGCAATCGAGCAAGAGTAGTTTGCTGTGAAACCACCCACAAATATCCCTGAATGCTTCACGACTTTTCGAGGCAGATTCAAGATGTGGGTAGCAAGCACTTGGTAAGAGTGATTGGTGGAGGTTGGACGTATACCGGTAGCTTAGGCTCTTGTTCCAGTGTGTTACTCGTCGGCGACACAGTGGTCTGAGTCGGGATCCAATCCATCCCAGCTGAAGCAATCGATCTCGCAAACCTGTGATTATTTGCAAGTCTAGGAGGGATTGCAGAATTAGTACTTTCTCCCATGAAGTGGAAAGTGCATCACTACTCCGATGCCCCGATTTAGAGCATATGATGTGACTTGAAAGCTGTCTTGTTGCGAGCGTGGCCACGAGAATGAAAGTACGCTGGATGAATTGGTATCGCTGCAATCTAGTCTCCTGTCCTGACCCCAGGGAATTGATTGCAAAGTAATTGTGGGGTAATATGGAAGATGTCGAAAGCTTCCTCACCAATCCCAACTAGGATCGGAAAGGAAAGTTGGGGAGGGGAATAAAACTTGATGCACATTTGAAACTTTGTCAAGTTCTTTGACTTAGAGCCTTGTAAAGGTTCAGATCTAATCGGAGTTTCTTCGCTCCTATAACACTCTTCCTAGGTAGCAGCATTACGAACTTCTGAGGCGCTTGCAAACAATCGCGATTGCCCAGGACGCATTTTCGTCGCGCGCAAGAGAACCTTCAATTGTCGAGACGCAGCTTCCGCCGTCAACCTGCCCAATCAGCGATTGGTCAGCAGATCTGGCCGGCTGGCGCAATGGTAGCGCATCAGACTTCTACTTTGTCTGTGACGAGTGGTTATCTGGGGGTTGTGGGTTCGAGCCCCACGTTGGTCATTCTTTTGTTTTCCGCATTCTTTTGTTTTCCGGACTATTGACATCTCTTTTTGTGTAGTAGACATGCAGTGTAGTTGAGATTTTTGGTCAAACTTGAAAAATGATTTGTAGGAGACCTCTAATTGGGTCGAGGCGAACTTCAATTGGTGCTTGCCCATACGGATAGTATCCATGCTTCTAGCACATGTGACTTGACATTTGACACAGGATGATCGAAAAACAAAGTGCATTCCTTCTCAGAAGCTTTCGGAAGCTGCCAGCTTGCAACAGAAAAGAAAAAAAAAGTTGCGCATTCTAAGTGTTTGTTCAATTGTCTAAAATAGGTAGGTACTTTGGTACGAAACGCCATGTCAGGGGCGGTTTTCCTTAGGGACTAAGTGTACTCAATGTTGTCGACGTCATGCCGATGTGCCCCAATGTGTCTTTCCTCAGCAACGTCCGCGTCCGGCGCTGGTGCGGATGGCCACTCACCGGGCCTTCACCGAAGCCGACCCACTTAAATCTCCATGGTCGCATAATCGTCAACCGTCCGCGTTGAGCTCCAGCTCAGCTTCCTTTCCCACGGCAAGCTCCAGAGCCCAAATCACAAAATGGTACGTCCTCATGCGCTCTCTCGAACAGGAAAACATCCCAAAACTTTCGCGCAGGTGTCTCGCGCATTCAACTCCAAGCGCGCTGGCTGATGCAGCTGTCGCAGTTACCCCTCGGTCTCTTGAACGCCGCCCAAGGGCACCCTATGCTCGTCGAGCTGAAGAACGGCGAAACCCTCAATGGCCACCTGGTCATGTGCGATACGTGGATGAACCTCACATTGAAGGAGGTCGTCCAAACGAGTCCGGTACGCGCCGCCCGCGTCGATGCATCGCCCCCATGCCCCGCGCCAGACCACTGACGAGCACATAGGAAGGCGACAAGTTCGTCAAGATACCCGAAGTTTACGTCAAAGGAAACAATGTACGACTTCTTAGAGAGCGCAAGTCCCAGTCACGAGCGACATGCTGACGAAGCCATAGATCAAATACCTACGAGTACCCGACGACATCATTGACGTTGTGAAGGAGAACCAACAGAACCAGCAAGGAGGATTCCGCGGTGGCAGAGGTGGATCGAGAGGAGACCACGGAGGCCGCGGTGGTGATAGAGGTCGGGGCAGAGGCCAGGGCCGTGGAGGCAGAGGAAGAGGTAACCGTGGTGGTGGTGGTGGTGGCGGGCAATGATGATATCCCGGACACGATCATGACGAGCCCAGTCGATGCACGGCTCCCTGCGGCTACTCTGCGCGATGTGCGAGAAGAATGTGGCCCTCTGAAGGCTATAGACATCCATGTCGGACGTCTCGCATGGAAAGGGATACGAATGCCGATGCCATTCAGAATTACAAGGCCTTTGGATCAGCATTGCGTTATCGGCCTCTGGCCGCCCGCCTTGGGAGCACGCGTATCAACATAATCATTTTACGTTTAAAAAGCAGGAAAAGATTCCCATGAGGCAATGCTTATTCATATACCAGCCGTGATGCTTGTGCATGCTCGTTGTCTATCGCAATGCGCATTATCGATTGAGTGTATCACGTGATCCAGTTTTGCACCGGGATTATCTCGGTGAGAGGAGCTCCGAAAAGTGCAAGCTGCAGCTCTCCAGAAATTTGTATACCCCGTGCCCAGCCGCATTGCCAGCTCCATGTCGGGCACTCGAGTAGTATTCGACGGCTTATGGCGCTGTCTTTGCCCCTCTGTCGATACGCAGGCTGCGGCTAGGCTTCTCAATTCACAGGTTATTCCGAGAACATCGCTTGCGACGCGCCAACGAAATCACCTCGTCCCATCCACCCGCCATCCTGCGAATCGTACACGATGTCGAAGATACACGACTGTCACACCTTCAGTCGTTCAGGCAGAAGGACATTTGAAGCTTCATGATAGTGAAGAGCTAGCGGAAGCCGACGCATCTCGACAAGCAGAAGACTCGGGATCTGTGGACGATAATCTCCCCGCCGTGAACGAGCAGCTCCGAGCAGCCCCGCTGCCTGCAATCCTCGATGCCCTGGAGGTCCTCCGGGGCCAACCAAAGAGCTTTAAGAAGGTCGCAACAATCATCACATATCTGGTACGGGCTAGAGGTGTTGAGCTCAGCCCGAAACTCTACGAGGACTTGATCGTTGCTACGGCCGATGTTCAAGGATCGGCGGCGTTCCTAGCACAGCTTTTCACGGAGATGAAGCGACTGCAATTCACAACTTCGCCTTCAATATCCCATGCCGCGTTGGCTGTATGTTTCCTCAAGACAATCCGAATTGCCGCTTGGACTAACGAGGATAGGCTCTCGCGATACATCCCGATTACTTACTTCGAAACGAGATTCTTGCAGCCATGAAGCAGTCATGGACCGAAGTTGATGTCCCAGGACAGGCTCACGTCGCCCTCGGGCTCCTCCGCGACGGACAGATCGAGCTTGCTTTTGATGCAATAGAGAACCTCATTCATAAACAAGTACCCATAGCTTCATGGGTCTTCGATATCTTCATTTTCAGCCTCGCCCACCGCGGATTTATAGATGAGGCGATCAAGCTGGCGCATAGCAAGGTTCACTCCTCTGATAGCGAGACCGACGTGGCGTTGTGGTATTCGCTGCTCGACAATTGCTCCGATGCCTACCACTACGAGGGTACGCGATACGTATGGGGTAGAATGCTGGAGAAGGACAAGGAGCAGCTTTCGGACGGGGTGCTCCTTAATATCATCAACACGGCTGCCAGGCAGAACGACTATCAGCTTGCCACAGGGGCGGCGCGGCTCGTCACACAGAGAGGTGGAAAACTTGTCGCGCATCATTACGAGGCGCTGATCGAATGCTACGGCGGCGTTGGCGATATCGTTAGCGCATTAAGGGTCTTGTGCATCATGTTCAAGGCCATCTCGGTTGCGCCATACGCCAGCACCCGTCCAATCTACCAGAGAATCAAGAAAGAGCCAGAGAGTATCGACCCGGCTCTTAACACTCTTACTGAGCTTGTCCGCAGCTACAAAGTCCCCATTGCCGCGCTCAATGTCATTATTGAAGCCGCTGTCGAAACGCACGGCTTCGCGAAAGCGTTGGAGATTTACCAGAATGCGCACAAGTATACCGAGGCCAGCCCTAACCACGTCACCATTCGCTATGTTCTCCAAGCGTGCGAGGATACAGAAGCTCTCAAGGCTCTTGTTGCGCAAAACCCTGAGTTGGCCCTGAAGGGTGATCGTACCGTGTTTGCGAGGGTCGTGCATGAGTACGCCGTGGCTGGTGAGCTGGATCTCGCGTACAAGTGTGTGAGATTGTTCGGCGAAGCTCCTGCGCCGGCTGAAGGGCAGGAACCAGAACTGGACAGCTTTTGGATAAACAGGAAGACGCTACTCACCCTCGTCAGGAAATCCCTTGACGTGCAGGACGTGCGGGTTTGGTGGCTGATCGAGCAGGCCGAGAGGCGGAATATGGACGTCCAGTCGGGCCTGTCGAAGGTTATGGCATCCGTTGCCGACGAGATCAAGAGAAGTTCCGGGTTGGACCGAGAGGACACCGAGATGACATATCGCTTCCCATCATAAAATGGACGGTCCGTGTATATTTTGTATTACCAAGAGCACTCGCATAGTCACCTTTGAGAGAAGGTATGCCGCACTCGGATTCAACCGCGGCGGCTGTATACTACACTTTGGCACGAGCCAGCCAAATTTGCGTTGCAGAAGCTTCCAATCGCCGGTCACGTCGTGAACACCACCTGTACTCATACGGGGTGACTCATTGTCAGCTTATAGCGTCGCAACCTTATCCCGACCACCACGGAACATACCGAGAGACACCGGAGGTTATCTATGCATCTGGTTTCATCAATTTGGATCCGGCCTTCAACCCGGCATGCAGGCCTGCCGGGCCAATGTTTGAACATCCCTCGACGCGCTAATTGCGAATCCAAGCACCCCTTCGTTACAAGTCTCCTCCTGTATTGTGTCAAAGAAGCACTCGTCGTCCCATTACATCATCATACATTTTCTTCCCCTGTCGCATTAGCCGAATATGCGGCAGTGTATTGAGAATCAAAGCTGACAGACAGCCTGCCGACTGAAAGACACTCTTCAACGGCTTGGCAAAAGCCATCGATTAATAAGTCTGGAGAGACGACATGCCATCTCAATCACAAGGATCGTGCACACCAAATGGCTGAATCATCCGTGGGATGGCATTCAGTTCAAAGCTCGATCCAGCCAGACTTAAGGTTCCTGACCGTGCAGCCAATCAGATGATGCATGGGCGGTGATCATTCAAGGGTTCCGGAGCTCGCTGATAAATCGACCAAAAGCCGGACGCGGATTAGTGATAATCTTGAGTATTGTCTGCTAGCTCGTTTTCTCACCTTCGCCTCCACGGAACTGACTGGCACTAGCAGCGAGTACTTTCGCGATCTGTATGCAGATGCTATCTCCTTGGCTCTAGCTCCTAATTCCAAAACCCGCCAACTTTGCGGCACGCCATCTCGTTGTCCCTCAACGTCATGTCAGCCCTAGCACCATGTCTCCCTATCACTCTGGTCGGCACAATCGACGGGGACGCGCCAACTCCAGACGGACGAGAACGGACAAACCAATACCCTGGTGACACGGCACGCACGTTTAGATCTTACCATGCCCCAGGGAGAGACAGAGATTTACGACGCCTGCTTCCGCGGGGTCCCCCACCCTCTTCTCTCTCAAACGAGATAGCCATCCGCACCAGACGGCTGGTTCGCGCCTATCTCATTCCGGCTCATTCGAGAAACTTAAGCCCGGCTGTGATTCATAATGCCACACGTGCTGGAGTCGCGCCGCATCGTAGTTATCGCTTGTAAGCCCGATGCCGTGGACGGACCAAATTTTGGCCCTGATCGGTCATCAGGCTAGCAGTCATGTTGCTTCTTTGGCCTTTGAGTGCTGTCGACGCCAATGTCTGCTTGGCAAAGCTTGAGATGATGGTCAGTATATTAGAAGACGTGATGTCGGTATCATCATCGTCTATTTTTCTGTCAATCCACACACTCATCTCTCCAGTCTTGCACCCTTGGCAACTGAAGATAACTCAACAGCTTCAGAAGCAAGTCAAACCGCCCAACAAGTGCTCTAATATCCCAAAGTCATCACCGTTGTGTACAGCACACAATCTAAAGCCACATCATCATCGGCCGTTCCAATGGCGCAATTAATACGAGATGCCTCAGTGGGCCAAATCATCCGCTTCATCACACGGAACAAGTTCCTACAATACCCGGAAGAGAAGCCCGACTTCCAACTTCCTCAACAATGGCTTGACGTCCTGAACTCTGAGAAGCCCAGCCCGGCAGAAGCAACCCCAGCCGACGCCAGTGCATCACCCCGATCCTCCGAATCAACCCACGCCGCCGACGAAGAGAACAAGCTCTCACAGAAGGAAGTCGAAGACGCTGCACCATATGGCACCTCGCTCCAGCGGACACGGAGCCGAGAGGAGACGGTCCCTTATACGGCAGACCGGCTCGAGGTCGACGAGATCCACGAGATCCAAAAGACCAAGAGCATCCCCATCGCACCCAGAAAGACAAAGGATGGTGCCATCCTGGTGGACTGGTACTTTAGCGACGATGCCGAGAATCCTCAAAACTGGTCCAACGCGAAGCGCGGGCTCATCGCCGCCGTCATCTGCATTTACACTTTTGTCGTCTACATGTCTTCGGCGATTTACACGCCCTCCATTGAGGGCGTCATCCACGAGTTTGGCGTCGACATGACTGAAGTCTCGCTAGGCCTGGCGCTGTTTGTGCTAGGCTACGGTATCGGTCCTCTGCTCTTCTCGCCGCTTTCTGAGATCCCTCGCATCGGCCGTAACCCGATTTACATCGTGACCATGTTCCTCTTTGTGATCGTGTCGATTCCCGCACCTTTGGCTAGCAACTTTCCTGGCCTGATGGTTCTCCGATTTCTACAGGGTCTCTTCGGCTCGCCCTGTCTGGCATCAGGTGCTGCGTCTCTGGGAGATATGTACAGTCTGCTCAACCTTCCCTACGCCCTCATTGCTTGGGTAAGTGCTTCTCAACTTTGACATCTACTATCAAACATCATCATGCTCATTCTTCCAATAGGTGTCGGCAGCATACTGTGGTCCAGCTCTTGGGCCCCTCTTGTCAGGCTTTTCCGTCCCCGCCATGGGCTGGCGCTGGTCTCTCTGGGAGATCCTTTGGGCCGCGGCCCCCGTCTTCCTCGTCATGTTCTTCTTCCTCCCCGAGACCTCGACGCCCAACATCCTCCTCCGCCGCGCTCAGCGTCTCCGCAAGCTGACGGGCAACGACCGCTTCATGTCCCAGTCCGAAATCGACCAGCGCAACCTCAAGACCTCGGCTGTCGTTATTGACGCCCTCATCAAGCCCCTCGAGATCACAATCAAGGACCCGGCCATCCTCTTCGTCCAGATCTACACTGCCATCATCTACGGCATCTACTACTCGTTCTTCGAGGTTTTCCCCCTCGTGTACCCAGTATATTACGGCATGTCCATCGGCGAAATCGGCCTCGTCTTCCTCTGCATCCTCGTCGCCTGCCTCCTCGGCATCGCCGTCTACGTCTCCTACCTTGCCTTCTACATGGTACCCCGTATCAAGAAATTCGGCTTCCCGATCCAGGAGAACCGTCTCGTACCCGCTCTCCCCGCCTCCTTCGGCCCCACCATCGGCCTCTTCATCTTCGCTTGGACAGCATCCCCGGCCATCCATTGGATCGCACCGACCATTGGCATCACCGTTTATGGTGCCACCGTCTTCGTCGTGATGCAGTGTATCTTTGTCTACGTCCCGCTGTCCTACCCGCAGTACGCCGCCAGTCTCTTTGCCGGCAACGACTTCTTCCGCTCCGCTTTCGCCTTCGCTAGCATCTTGTTCGCCCGCCCGATGTACCAAAACTTGGGAGTCGCCCGGGGAACAAGTTTGTTGGGTGGACTAAGCACAATTGGTATCCTTGGAATCTGGCTGCTTTACTTCTACGGTGGTAGACTGAGGGCTCTGAGCAAGTTTGCGGTTTCGTCTGACTAAGGAGGTTCGGGATGAAATCTGATCCTTTTGATTTCGGCGTGGCTTTTGATGATGATGACATAGCATGGCCTTGTTTCTTTTCCCCTCTGCTTTCTATGGTGGTTGGAATCTCGAGACGTAGATCGACTAAGAATTAATAGAGTAATTTCGCGAGCATAAATCCCACGCAAACGCCTTTGACGATGTGAATTGTCTTTACAAATGGCGGATACCGGTCTTACTATTGAAGCTTACCGGTGACCACGCCATACATCACAAGTTCTCGGATCGCAAGGCATTCTCCAACCAACCCTGCAACTACGAGCCGGTACCGGATCTGAGCGACCCGATTCATGTCGAGTTTCTTCCGTCTCATCTATCCCCACCCATCCACCAGTCTGATTCCGCAACCTTATCATCGCGCGAAAGCACTAACCGAATTAGGGCATTATTTTGAGAAACTTGACAGCGCAGGGTTCCTGGCTATCGTGGCCAGCTCCGAAATGCTCTCCTCTGAGACGAGCTCAATTGCTATCGGCGTGTTCTATGCGATGTGGTGTTCCGCATACTTTAAGACTTGTTTCCTGATAAGCCAAACTAAAGATGGGCAATATTAGAGAGATGACGACTGAAACGTAATGCTTGATCCCAACACGAGCAGGGGAAGAACAGGTGTTAGCAAGATGGACTAGAAGAACGGCAGATATAAAGTAGATTGACCGCTTGCTAAGAAAAATGGGTTTGCAAGCAGCACCGTCTGATGCAAAGCACGAACAGAGAATATTTACATCATGGCGAATCCCGAGGCCCCTACTTCCCGTCCCTCCATTACCCGATGCGATGCAACGGATCCATCAACCACAACAGAGAAGCTCGTCGAGATCATCAACCGTGATGGCGGCGTGATAGTAGAAAAGTTCATCAATCTCCAACTCGCTGCAGAGATCAAGCGAGACCTGAAGCCGTACTTTGACGAAGACATCCCAGACAAGTACGGCTTCTTTCCAGCAACGACGCAGAGAGCATCCGGTCTGCTGGGAATATCAGACGCCTGTGTAGAGCTCGCATGCAACCGCTTGTATACTGATGTCGCGAATGCTCTGGTCTCTTCCTCGTTCACCTTCTGGAGGGGCGACAAACAGAAGACTGTCAGCGGGAAGCCCATCATCTCTTCGACAGTAGGATTCCGGGTGAATCCAGGAGGGAAGCAACAAGTGCTACACCGTGACGACAAGTGAGCATTGTTGCCTCTTTACTGTGATGCAGAGATTCTCTAACATGAGGCTTGCAGTGATTATCATCCTCATGACAAGCAGCTGCCCGTCCTGATTGGTTGCGTCACCGCCTTGACGAAAACAACAGCAGCAAATGGCGCGACTGTCGTGATTCCGGGCTCGCACCTCTGGGGTCCCGAACGTCGTCCGCTCGACAAGGAGACTATTCCAGCGGAACTTGAACCCGGCGACGCCTTGATCTTCCTCGGAAACCTGTACCATGCGGGCGGAGGGAATGTTACCACGTGAGTACATCGCCGACGTGCAGAGAGTATCCCTTGCTAACGCTCCTCGACAGGGACGAATATCGAGAGACTGTTGGTATCTTCCTGTGTCAGCCGACACTACGTCCTGCAGAGAATCAGTTCCTCATGGTACCGTTTGAGCGAGTGAAGAAAATGAAGCCCCAGGCACAACGTCTTCTGGGGTATGGTCTATGCGAGCCGGGTGTTGGGTTCATGAAGTACCAGGACCCAATGCGAGTGCTTTTCGGTGTCGAGGACGAAGAGACGGTCGATTTCTAGTAGTCTCCACTTCATGTTGACGAATTAAAAAGAAGTTTCCGTCTTTCTCCAAAGGGCGTTGATGTTGCTCACACCACAAGAACTCGCTGCCCTATGGCTTCTCTCATGCGAGCGAGGGGTCGCCAATCGTCGTCTTTGCCAGCCCAAAACTCCTTGAGAAAGTTCACCGCATCCAGGTAGTAGCTGAAACGAGTGCCCTCATGGATCGCCGTGAGCAAGCCCGTGATGATTTCTTGTTGATGCTGATCTCCATGGCATTCGGTACCGGCAATGAACGTCGGCCAGGCTAGATTCTGAACGAAGGCAGCTTGGTCTTCAAATCCAGTCAGTTGGTCGAATAGGCTAGCTACGGCTACAATGCGCTCCGAGGCGTGCTCGATGGCGTAGTCGAGACACCTTATCGAGTAAAGCAGCCCTGCTTTATGATAAACCTCAACTAGACGTATGAAATCACGGGACATGCTTGATCCTGCTAGTCCGAGTCGCCCGGCCGCCATCAGCGTGGCGCCTCTTGCTTGCTCAAACCCATATCGAATAAGAGGCATCGTGAGACCACTTCGTAGGCGCGATATTGAAGGATGACACTCTACGGCATCTGCCGACACAAGCGTGACGCGGTGCAAAAAGGCCAGATATGTCGAAAACAGCAGATGATCTGAGCCAGGTGCCGGTGTGACGGCGTTCCGAATGAGGGGCAGGTCAAACGATGTCGTAGCTGCCAGCACATCATCTATGGCTAGTTGGTTTCGCAAGAAAGCAAACAGATCTCGGTTGCTGATGGAGTTCTGACATTTGAAAAGGTTAACAATCGTCCGGGCCGCGCGCCTGTGATCATCGGCGATTTGCAGGCGGCGACGGGCATTCTCGTAGTTGCACATGATAAGAATCGAGGCCAGCATCCATTCTGCATCTGCCAAGTCGTCATGGTTGTCCAAATCATCGCCCTCGATCAGTCGTGCCGTCATGTTCTGGGCGCGGGTTTGTATCAGATGCAAGCACCTATCGCGAGCATTCTCGGCGACGGACTCATCCAGCAACGTCATGGCGCCGTGTTGAGCCGCGAAAGCCATGATCGCGAAGCCGATTGCTGGTTGATTCGCGGCTAGAGGAACAACCTGTGTACGGTAATGGTTCTCGTCTGAGTCCATCCATACCATCAGGCCGGCTAAGTTCCGTCTGTAATAGTCCATGAACACCCTTGTCAGAGAGTCGGGGTACTCGCAAGCTTGAGTTGTTTGGGCGATTGGCGCATTCAGAATGGCAACCGAAGTCATGAAGCCTTTCCTTTTGTCTGGCTTGGAAATTTCAGTGATGATGTCTTTCGAGTCCTCTTCTCGAGATGCGGTCTTATCTTCAGAAGACGGCCTCGTCGGGATCGTTCGGCCCCGCAGATGTCCCCTTGCGGCGACCCCTTCAACCCATCGAAGTCGGCGGTCATAACCAGGGCAAGAAAGCCTTTTCTTGTCACACTTGGCGCAATGAGGGCGCTGTCGATCGCAGCAAATTCGACGACGCTCACAATTAGCGCAGCCTTGGGGGCTAATCAGCACATGATCGGCTGAAGGAGTGGACGAGCATTCGACGCACCTTTGAGTTGCTTTGCGGGCGCTTCCACCGTAGACTTAGCAGCACCTCTTTGGACTTTCCTCTCTGTCATGCTGTCAAAATGACATGGCCACGATGGTCGTGATATATCTCGTACTCGAATGAGTGTGCGATGCCTGGTGAAACTAGCCTGCGGTTGAATGAGACTTATCAACTAATTGCGGGGTTCCTGTCCCTCGATACCGTCTGGTCTCTAGCCACGTTCCGATTGATCAACGGAGGGGTACCCAGTGCTTTCAGTTGCGAGGTGTGCACGCTAAAGCCAGGCCCTGAGAACAACTCATTGAGAACAGTATTTGCGTTGATCTAAAATTCCAAAAAGCAACTTAGACATCCTGCCACTGTGATTGCCATGCTGACTCAAAAAAGAGCTGGTTAATTGCGGCGTAGGCTGGCATCGCGTCTTGTCGCCTGCAGCAACTTCGTGCAGACAACTACACCAATGATCTGTCAGTGCTGCCTAAAGTCTTACATTTCTTGACCTCCCTCTGAGCTGCGCCGACCCCTCCTACCTCTCCTCCTTCAACAGACGAGCATTTGATATACTGCTACCTACCTTTTCTCAAGCTTTATTTCAGTGAGCGGATCGCCATGGAAGATGACTACATCCAACAAGCTAGAGTCTCCCCACATTGGTTATCTGAGGGCAGCGCCTTCTGGTATCGCCAGAATCTACCAGCCGACAGGTTCGCCTTCATCTACGTCAATGCCACAGAGAAGCAGCGACGCCCAGCTTTTGACCACGATAAGCTAGCGAAGGCGCTTCAAGAGAAAATCAACCAAAAAGATGGAGAATTCGACGCTTTCAAGCTACCCTTCACATGGATCGACCTTGAAGACGAGTCGTCCTCCATCCGATTTCTCTACGAGGGAAAGAAATGGCGTTTTGATACTGAAGCCAATCTTAGTGAGTGGGAGGGTGCGCTCAATCTGCCCACGACGCCGTTCATCTCTAAGGAACGTGCATCTGTGCACTCGAACCACTCCGTCACTATCACTTTTGTCAACAATAGCAAGGCGGACTTGAAGAAGTATTGGGTAGACTGGGAAGGCAAGCCAGTGCTTTATGGAGGGATTGGAAGTGGTTTAAGCAACACTCAAAGAACTTATGCCGGTCATGTCTGGAAATTTGTCGATGAGTCGGGGACTGTCAAGGCAATCTACGCCACACCCGAAGAAATTGTCTCTTCTGTGGTTATTGATGAGACTACCATGGATGAGCTCGGTCCCCAAAACTCAGAAAACGGTGTTGAAGAGAAATGTGACAAGAAAACGAGCCCAGAGTCTGGCTTGAGCGAGAAGGACTCGCCCCACCTCTTTGTGCGAGACTTCGACCTTTGGTGCCGGAATGAGGACAAGGAAGAGGTGCGTCTTTCAGGTAACGGCGCCGAATACAATCAGTATGATGATTCAAACATCTGGATGTCTCCAGACAAGAAGTTTTGTGTCGCCTGGCAATTCGTCCCGGAGGAAGAGCATAAAGTGCATCTTCGCGACTCTGTTCCGAAAGATCAGCTCGAGCCAAAGGCGAAAAGCATCCGTTATTTGAAGGCTGGAGATCGCGTCAGAGTTGATCGTCCTCGTTTGTTTAATCTAGACACGAAAGAAGAGGTCGTTACGGACGCAGCCTTATTTCAAAACCCCTACGAACTGCGGAACATCGGATGGAGTCGTGATTCTTCGGAATATCGCTTCATATACAACGAGCGTGGCCATCAACGCCTACGTGTCATAGGGATCAACTCAGACGGGCTTGTTAGGACTCTAGTTGAAGAGAGCAGCGACACATTCATTGATTACTCCACGAAGCTCAATCGACATTTGATAGAAGATACCGACGAACTCATCTGGGCTAGCGAACGAGACGGCTTTAACCACCTTTACCTCTTCGACCTTCAATCAGGGAAGTTGAAGAGTCAGATAACAACAGGAAAATGGAATGTGAAAGACTTCGTTCGTTTCGACGAGGAAGCGAGAGTGGTTTGGTTTTCAGCTTGCGGAGTGGTCCCTGGTCAAGATCCGTACTATACGCACTTGGCTCGTGTCAACTTCGATGGGACGGGATTCAAAGTGCTGACCGATGGAGATGGTACACACCACTGGACAATCTCTCCGGGGCACAGATACTTTTTCGATACATGGTCGCGGGTGGATTCGCCTCCACGCACCACTCTAAGAAGTATGGAAACTGGACAGCTGGTCGTACATCTCGAAGGTGACGAAGGAGATTCTCATCGTTTAGAAATAGACGGCTGGGTCGCACCCGAGAGATTCAACTGCCCTGGACGGGACGGCGAAGAGTCCATCTACGGTATAATCGTTCGCCCTCCAGATTTTGATCCCAAGAAAAAGTACCCCATCCTAGAATCCGTCTACGCAGGCCCGCATGGATTTCATGTACCAAAGGAATTCAGTGCGCTGCGTTCGCGCCGACAGTGGGCAGAGCAGGGGTACGTTGTTGTTCAAATTGATGGCATGGGAACGAATTGGCGATCAAAGAAATTCCAAGACGTGAGTTGGAAGAATCTCAAGGACGCCGGGTTCCCTGATCGCATAGCCTGGATCAAAGCTGCAGCGGAAACTCGGCCGTGGATGGACGCAAACCGAGTTGGGATCTTTGGGGGATCGGCAGGCGGACAGAATGCCGTGGGAGCACTTCTATTTCACGGTGACTTCTACAAAGCAGCCGTCGCCGATTGCGGTTGTCACGATAACAGAATGGACAAGATATGGTGGAGCGAGCAGTGGATGGGTTATCCAGTTGACAAAGCATACGAGGATTCATCGAATGTGGTCCATGCTAGCAAATTGACGGGAGCGCTTTTGCTAATCGTTGCAGAAATGGACGACAACGTCGATCCCGCGTCCACTCTGCAATTGGTCAAGGCTTTGAATGATGCAGACAAGGACTTTGAGTTTCTTTACATGCCTGGGGCTTATCATTGTTCAGGCAGGACGAAGTATGCTCTCCGTCGACAGGAGAAATTCTTCAGACAACATCTGCAAGCCTCGCAATAGTAGCACGAATCTTCCAACTTGAGAGTCTGTTGAGAAACGCACTCATTGAGAGGTGCGCTTAATCTGCCACGAATTAATGATACAACTCTTAGTTCAACCTTACCGAGATTGAAGTTGGGAGACGTTTTCTTTGAGCTGGGATCTCTTGACTCTAATTCTATTACGCTATTCTACAAATCATGATTTCCATGCCAGGCTCTTACACAAATGAAAGTTGAAAGGCTGCCAATGATGTCGCTACAGACAGGCTCAGTTCACCCTCCTTAGAAAGCACCCTGGTGATATCAGACCTTTCGTGCTCGGATCAAAACCTGATGTTCCGGATCTGGGAGCACGTTCACTCCAAATTCCACATTCTTGGACCGTGGCTGTCCATCCAAGTTCTTGATCTCGTAGTTCAGGAGAAACTCCGCAAACATGAGCTTAATTTCAACATCGGAAAGGAATCTGCCCGGGCACGCATGCCTGCCGAAACCCCAACCAAGCTCCGTACGAGTGACGCTGACAAATGAATGCTTGTGTGCCATCCCGTCTTCCTGGCGTTGACGGTACGACCGCATGCCATCGAACTTGTGCGGATCGGGGTAGATGGAAGCGTCAAAGTTGATAGCGCTGGTCGGTAGTTCCATCTTCGTACCGGCAGGGATGTAAGTTCCGTCCTTTAGGGTTACAGGCTTCGTAGCCATGCGCTGGAAGGTAGCTTCGAGCTTGTAAGAAACCGTACTTGATTCTGGTGGGAAGACGCTGACTTACTCAGATCAGGTGCATTCATTCTCAAACTCTCCTTCATCCAGCTGTCGAGTTTTTTCATCTCGGCAAGTGACTGCTTGGTAAAGATTCCCCCAGAACTCTCCAAGACCTCCACAACCTCTTTGCGAAGCTCTTCGGTAAACTCAGGGTACGCAGCAAGATCATACAAAACTTGGACCATGGAAGAAGAGGTTGTGTGAATACTCGCCACGGCGAGGGTCATCTGCATCAAGAGTTGTAGGTCTAGGTCACCGGCCTTATCTGCATGATCCCCGCTAGACAGGTGGTCAAGCATCGTGGGAGGATTCTCCAGAGGTGCACCACCCAGAGCTCTTTTCCTGGCCATGGACTTGGCGACAATTTCGCGCCCTTCAGCCCACTGCTTTTCCTTCTCTAGGCGTTCCGGGAGGAAGTAGGCGACGAATGGACGCAGGAAAGGGGGCCACTGCTTGAGAGCCGAGCCGTATTCGATTGCGGTGTGTACAAACGACATTGAGAGATTGGTCCATGCGGGATTACGGGCTGCTTCATCGCTATGCATAATTCTCGCAGACAGAATCGCCACAAGCTCGAAGAAGTGCTGATAGGGTTTTACTGGTGTCCAATCTGGATAGAAATTAGGCAAGGTCATGTACCTATACTAGGATTGTGGGTCATACCTGTCGGAGATCCAAGAAACATTGGAAGGTGTTCTTGGATCATCCCATGGAAAACAGGAACGTAGGCACCTTTTTTCTCGGTTAGTATTGAGCTCTGAGAATATCATAGAGGATTCAACAAACCCAAGCTGGGATTCATCTTTGCCAGAATCTGATGTACTCCCCAGGCGTCGACACCTCCAATGCCCGTATAGTTGACCAAAGCATCCTAGAAAGAAAAGTCAGCATACTTGTGACTAGTGAAAAGTGACATGAACAAACGTTGTCGATGGAGGCTTTGAAACTCAATGCCGGGTGACTCTTCAATTCGTCTACACTTGCAAGGGGCAAGACGACTTTGACGCCTACACAAAGTCAGACTTTTATTCAAAGTTTTGCGAGAGAGTAAACATACCATCCATGGTATCAATTCCGAAGGGCTTGCTCTTGAACTGACAAGCGCATTAGCTACGAGGCTCAATGCAACTCTTCAATAACTCAATCTACCTGCTCATAGTACTTGTCGAGTAACTTCCTGGCGTTTGCGCCGTATGACCGCTTTCTATTGAGAATATCGGACACCTCTTCCGAAAGTGGCGTGGGTACTTTAAGTCTTCGGCCCAGGACTTGTGAGAGTATCCCAAGAAGCAGCGATGAAAGTATCAAAAAGCTTGCTGTTGAAGACAGATGGTGCCAGTTCAACAACGAAGCGTCGATGCGAATCGTCGTGGGTAATAGAGAACCCATTTTGTTCGAGTTGTCTGAATACTTGAGGTAAGACAGAAGGTATACCAAAAGTGCTCTAGTGAGAAAAGAAAGCAAAATTGGCTTCGAGCACTGGCCGTCTTTTGGGGTTTTTACAAAAGTTTAAATGCTGGGAACTGACTGTAATTAATTCATGAACACACCTTTGAGAAAGTGAATAGACCTTAAATAAGAGCTTGGTTCGGCATGAACATCTTGCCACAGGTCGCCAGTTTGGACGATGAAGCGTGTCGTGGACTGGGTGGATCCGTGAAGCGGACTGGCGCAGATCGACACTGCCCACTCGAGGCGGACTCTCGGCATGCACCGAGCCCTTCATGCCAAGTAGCGAGCCCATCATTCAGTTTCTAGAACTTCAAGTCTCAAGCATTCCTTATTCGGGTGGACTTCAGTGGAATCATAGATAGTTCGTGTCTCAGTTCGATAGCCGGCGGGAGAGTGCAGGTTTCATACGGACTCAAGGAAATGTTGGCAAGCGCCGTTAATCTTACTAGGCGTTGCTTTGTGACCCCAATCGAAGAACTGAATTTCCACCGGTAAGTCTTTGTATGGACTTGATGGGCTGTGTGAGCATCCTGTTCATTCCAAGAGCTTGCTCCGAGCCTTTTGGGATTGGCTCCCCAGAGTTTTAAGAAGCGAATGTGTAGCTTCTGAAAGCCATGTTCTACACGCAACTCTACATGATCTGGGGGAATCCTCACTACCTACGTCATTGATTAGAATTGCAATGCCTCTATGCATCGTCCTCCTGATCTCAACTATTGATGAAAGCCCCACAACTAAGCACAACATTCTCTTGCAGATAGGACGAATTTTAATGGCTTTGATGCATTCCGCCAGGAACCAGACCAATATGGACCTAGATAACTACATGGGACTGATGTTACAATAGCTATAGCTTAGGTGCCACACCTTTCTGGACAACATTAATGATACTTTACCTGTCTGCGGACTTCACCTCGAAGGTCAGTAACTATTTTTAATATTTGCAATGCCTGTAAAATGGTCCACTTAGTCACGGCGTTTTACTCTGTCCGAAAAGAAGCAGTATCAAAAAACGTTTACCGAACTTCCTCACCGCGTTGTCAGCTTTGACTTATTATTTGCGACGGCGATGTGATGTCGTGTGTTTAAAGGCCAGTTGTGGGAACCGTTACAGTAACATGGCGGGATCTGCATTGCCGTCAAACGTTACGGCAAATAAGAAGATTGGGTTCATGAAGCCGAACGGGGAATTTCAAACCTTCGCGGGACTGTGCAGGAAGCCGCCCCTGGGTCTCGATCCCACCCGGGCCGATGTGGAGTCTTTATTGGGGCATGCTATTCGGCAGACGGCGCCTTCGGGAGCCGATTGACCATAAAGGACTCATCAGTGCATGCGTCATATATGGACATGATTTTCCAGGCTGAGTGTTAAGCCAAGGCTGGAAGGCGGCTGGTGCTACGCTCGCAGAACTTGGCAGCTGGCGCTATTTAGCTGCCTCGCCCGTTCCCGGTAGGTCTAAACAGAAGCGCGGATTTTTCGCTGTGTGGAAGTCCGAGAGTCCGAAGTTCAAGCATAGTAGGTAGCTCGAATTGTAGCACTTATAATCCTCTTGCTCCATATTCTGAATTCTCTATCATTCTTTCTGTTTGAGCTTATACATTTCAACGCAGGTTGAAGCTGTCATGTCAACCGTGGTTCTTACCATCCATGAACAGCAAATTGCCAAGTGAGCGGGAGCCGGGTTTCTCACATGAAGCGCCCATCAGCCAGAAGCCTACATGTACTTAGTTTGAGCTATCAACATCTTCAGACTTAATCACCGAAACTCAATTTGATAGGGATTTTGTATCACTCGAGGTGTTTGTTTCCCTTAATCGCCTAGACTTTTCACCAGATCCCTCTACACACCCTATTGTTTTGTTACTAAGCAAATTCCCCCAAAGCTAAGAGCCGGCGGCCTGTTCCCCCGCAAAGCGTAGTCAAGCTCTTGCGTAAGATTTTCTTTTCGCCCATGCAATCAGTGGATCTAACCGGCACCCAAACTCCGTCTTCAGGGCCACAATTGATCTCTCCGCTGACTCTCTGCTCCATCGACTTTGCGGGGAGGGAGGTTCGCATTTTCAAAGTACGTAACGGCATCGAAGACCACAACCGGCTCCGGCTCGATACCTTCATCACTCTTATGTATTCCGTGCAATTTTATTACCAGACTTGGAGTAGCGCTGGGCAATGAGCTTAACCTTAGTAAGGGTGCCTAGCGACTGGGTTCAGTGACATTCCCGGATAAGTGTCCGGCACTTGAATGGCCAGCCTAGCCAATCCCTTCCCCCTGACTGGGAGATATCTCAGGGATCTCTGGTTGCTAGTGGCGATACCGATATCAAAAGGGATGATTCCCCCGCGACCCAAGTCGCACCATCAGACCATTGGCACATTGAAAGAGTGCCGCCGGGCATCTGGCCTCTAACAAGTTGGGGGCGCCGTCGGCGGAATCGATCAATTAAGCAGCAATTGGAATGACAATGGCTGCCGATATCGAAATTCCGTGAATGCCGCTACTGGATCTCTCGGGTAATTTCACGTAGCACCGGGCCGGTCGCGTTCAGATGTCTATCTAGACAGGCCCGCCTCGACTTTCCTCCCCAGAACTTCTCGAAGACCAGCAGTAGGTCCGTATGCATCTTCCTGACTCTCAACACGTTCCAAGCATGGATCGCGATACGAAACTCCACGACGAAAGCGAGGCCACGGCCCCCAATGTCAACAAGACACGGTCGGCCGACCAACACGATGTGGCCATCAACGCGTCTGGCCACGTCCAAGAACTCGAGCGCAACTTCAATCTGCTCTCCCTCGCCGGTGTTGGATTAGTAGTCGGGAATGTCTGGCCAGCGATCGGTGGCTCAATCCTTGTCGCCATCTTCAACGGCGGTCCCCCGGGCGTCCTATATGAGTTCATCGCCGTGTCCGTCTGCTACTGGACCGTCGCCGCCAGCATCGCCGAGCTAGCAAGCGCCATTCCTTCGTCCGCCGGAGTGTACCATTGGGCCTCCGTCACACCCGGCCGCCGATGGGGCCGCGTCGTCGGCTTCTTCGCCGGATGGTGGAATTATCTCGCGTGGGTTCTCGGCGCGGCCAGCATGGCATCGATTTTCGGCAATACGGTGGTCCAGATGTACGCGCTCAACCACGCGGGTTTTGAGGCCAAGCCCTGGCACGTCTTCATCGTCTACATCATCGCGACATGGCTTGCATGCGCCATTGTCTGCCTGGCTAATAGTGCTATGCCGCGGATTAACGATTTCGGTGTCTTTGCGATTGTAGCAGGTTTCCTCATCACCGTCATCACTGTAGCCGTCATGCCCGGTCGAGACGGACGGCCGCCGCATGCATCGTCTTCCTTTGTTTGGACCGAGTGGACCGCCGACATCGGATATCCGAACGGCTTTGTCTTTGTAGCCGGAATGCTGAACGGAGCTTTCAGTGTCGGTGCCGTCGATGCCACCACCCATTTGGCGGAAGAGATTCCGAACCCGCAGCGTAACGTCCCCATTGCTCTCGCGCTACAGCTGAGCATCGGCTTCGTCACCGGGTTCTGTTACTTGGTCGCCATCATGTACGCGATCAACGACTATGATGCTCTCTTCGAATCTCCTTACCCGATCGCCGAGATCTACCGTCAGGCTACCGGCTCCGCCGCCGGCGCGACTGGCCTGCTCGCCCTCGTACTCATCTGTATCGGTCTTACGCTCATGGGTCTATACATCACTTGCGGTCGTACACTGTGGGCTCTTGCCCGTGATGGCGCAAGTCCCCGTCCTGCCCTCCTCGGACATGTGAGCCCGAGGCTGGGCATGCCCATGTGGTCTACAGTCTTGTCAGCCATCCTGGTCACGGTTCTCGGGGCAATCTACGTCGGTAGCACAACAGCCTTCAACGCTTTTGTCGGGAGCTTCATTCTTCTCTCGAGCAGCTCCTATCTCGCCGCTATACTACCTAACCTCCTTTCAGGGCGGAAGATGGTCGCGTACGGACCCTTCCACATGCGTGGATGGATTGGGTTCGCCATCAACAGCATCGCGTGTTCTTACATGTTGGTATGGTTCGTCATCTACTGCTTCCCTTTCGCTCTGCCGACCAATGCCCAGTCGATGAACTACGCATGCTTGATATGGGGCGGTTTCACCATATTTGTTGGTCTGTGGTGGATGCTGGGTGCAAGAAAGGGGTATGAAGGTCCGACAACAACGGGCGGTGCCGTGATAGAGGCAGCATCTCACCACCATGTAGCTTGATTTAGTTCGAAGTCAAAAGTATGAACATCTATTCAATTGCAATGATTCGTACCAAACATATACCCACAGCTTATGCGTCCTTGCGAGTAGTAACCTCCTTATGACTAGCACCAACTACACAGACATGCATACCCCATGAAGAGATAGCCGCTCTAGCGAATATTCAAGCGATTTGAGCACAGATCTCTCCGCTCACTCGATGTCTCCGCCATTATGAGGAATGAAAGTGTCCGGACGAAAAGTTGTCCTGTGTCGATACGGGATTGATCTAAGGTAGCTGTTGCATGACAATACGACGGGAAAATATCTATTTTATGAGAAACGTCTTATGACACCTCAGCCGACCGCTGTGGCAGCGCAGAATCGGTTTCGCTCGGCTTATGAAGTCGTCCAAGCTATCAACCATGTCATAGAAGCAGAAAGCTACACCACAGCCCGTGTGAGATGATGCACAAGACTTCTTTACCTTTCGACTCTCACTAACACGTAGAAGCAACCGTTCAGATGAATATGTGCGTATCAGTGCTTTGACTTACCGGGGTTTCAGCAATGTGTCCGCGCGGAAGGTTTTTAGGTTCACGACGTGGGACAACGGGAACGGTGGGATTGAGGGGGGCAACTACGCAGGCGGCGAAATGATAGTCCGACGCGGAACGTCTACTAATACATCATTGACGGCAGATGTCTCAACCAATCGACACCCACCCCAACATCCCATCCCTCCCCCAGCTCTGACACCCCGGGCCTGTCACCGGTACCATTTGATATAGGAAAGATCTCCCGTCAGTCAACTAGCGCCAAGCATCTGCCAAAATGAGAAGCAAGGCTACATCGTCTGCCTTGAGCTCATACAACGACACCGCTTATGCGTACAACCTCGGCACATTCCATCGCGCCGTGAGTACTTCGAGCCAGGATGCTCAGGTCTGGTTCAACCGCGGCCTGACGTGGGCGTATGCCTTCAACCATGAGGAGTCAGCGAGGTGCTTCCGGAAAGTCATTGAGAATGATCCTTTCTGCGCCATGGCTTATTGGGGACTCGCATTCGTCCTTGGGCCCAACTACAACAAGCCGTGGAAGGTATTTGATGGAGAGGACCTCGCCGATACGACCAAACGCGCACATCACACGATCATGCAGGCAAAGAGCCACTCAGGCAAGGCTACTCCAGTCGAGGTTGCGCTCATCAATGCACTGTCATGTCGCTACCCGCAAGAGAAGCCAGCAGATGATTGCTCGAAGTGGAATCAGGATTACGCCCAAGCCATGGACTCGGTCCTGCAAGCCTATCCTGATGATCTCGACGTGGTCGCCTTGTGGACAGACGCCACGATGAATGTTACGCCTTGGAAGTTGTGGGATTATAGGACTGGAAAGCCAACGCCAGGTGCCAGGACCCTGGAGATCAAAGATGTAATGGACCGCACTTTCAGGCTCAGAGGCTCGTTGCAACATCCAGGCCTCCTTCACTTATACATCCATCTGATGGAAATGTCACCAACTCCGGAAGCCGCCCTGACTATAGCTGACAATCTTCGCGGACTTGTCCCGGACGCAGGGCATCTTGAGCATATGCCTACACATCTGGACATCATCTGTGGAGAATACCGTCGCGCCATCGCGTCCAACTCTGACGCAATACGTGCCGACTCCAAGTTCCTCGCCCGTGAGGGTCCTCTTAACTTCTACACGCTGTATCGGTCGCATGACTTTCACTTCAGGCTATATGCCGCCATGTTGTGCGGTCAGTCCCGGGTAGCCCTTATAACTGTGGAAGAGCTCGAGTCGACTATTTCTGAAGATTTACTGCGAGTCGAGTCACCACCAATGGCAGATTGGCTCGAGGGCTTTCTCGGCATGCGAATGCACGCCCTGGTACGCTTCGGTCGTTGGGAGGCTATTCATGCTCTTGAACTTCCGCGAGACTCCAAGCTTTACTGTTCAACCACTGCCATGACACACTACGCGAAGGGCATAGCCTACGCTGTGCAGGGTCGGATTGAAGAGGCGGAAAAGCAGCGCGTATTATTTACCGAGGCAGTAAAACGGGTACCGTTATCCCGTTCAGTCTTTAACAACACTTGCTTGTCGATTCTCTCCATTGCCGAGGCTATGCTGGATGGAGAGTTGGCTTACCGAAAGAAGGATTACGACATCGCTTTCGCCCATCTGCGTAAGGCCGTAGAGAGAGATGATGCCTTGCCCTATGATGAGCCTTGGGGATGGATGCAACCAGCACGGCACGCGCTCGGTGCGCTGCTGCTGGAGCAGGGCCATGTCGAGGAGGCAGCGGCTGTCTATAGTGCAGACCTTGGGGTTGACGAAACCTTGCCCCGGGCTCTGCGGCACCCCAACAATGTCTGGGCACTGCACGGATTCTACGAGTGTCTGATGAAGTTGGGCAGGGTTGACGAGGCTAAGATCCTCAAGCCGCAGCTCCAACTAGCTTTGGCCGTGGCGGATGTTCCCGTCAAGTCTTCGTGCTTCTGTCGCTTGAAGACGGTCGATTGACAGGTGCGGTCCCTGAGGCCTCCATTCCAGCGTCGCCTCAGAGACCTTGAGAGACCACGTGCCAGTTTATGACGCTGGCTTCCAGGCGAGGAAATGGACGGTGTAGTGAGATAGATCATTAAAATGCACATCTTTAGGCTGACAAGGGCATTGGAAGGAACGGACACGGGCATTATGGGAAGGGACTGCATCAATGGAAAGTATTCGTTTCGCGCTTTAGCAGAAGAAGAAGAGACTCCTTTTGCTTCACTAGGATTGCAACCTGCTTTGGAGATGGGTAAAGTTTCCGGGTATCCAGGTGTCAATATGTGAATGCTTTGCGTGCATGCGTGTGGGATCCGTCTTCTCTAAGTCTTGTCAGTTCCGTGACCAAGTCTCCCTTTCTTCAAATATCCCAAATGATGAATTCACCATAAGGGGATTGATTTCACTGTTTACTTCGATCTACAAACGGTTATCAAATTCTACATTACACAGAGGTATCAGTTCTTCAGGTTCCGAAGCAGAAGCCCAACTAGTTCATGGTCAGTGACAGTGGGTCAAGGCCGACGCCTTGATGATTTACGGACTTCATTCTGCCCATCAGTTTTGCAAGCTCTGAAGAAAACATGACCTCGCATCGGCGTTAGGAACTTACACTACTACAAATGTGACGCCACTTCGCAAGCTTAGAAGATAGGGGAGGCCGGTGGGCGGCGGACTTCCAACTGCCTAATTGGCAAGTTCTAGGCCGGAGCCAAGAAGAATTGCCAAGTGATGCAAGTCTAAAGCTACCAATTTACCTGGAGTTACTCTCGGGGAGGGGCTATTGTGAAACATCGGTAGTCACTAAATGAGAGATTTAGCAACGGTTTGCAGACGCAAAGAGCTTCAGGCTGTAATTGCAATAGTTGAGTAGTCTGGAAGAGCCAAACTGAAACTATCCGAGGAACAGAGGCAGCACTTTTTACTCTAATTGTTTTTGGAGCGCCGCAGTTTGGATTAATGATGACTTGGAAGAATGAATAGTGTAAGTATATACGTGGCCTCCCGGTTGTAGTTGTATAGATATGTACAAGAAGTCAAGTAAGACTAGATCTAGCCCAATGTGAAGTGTTCCAAAGTCCTCCGGTGTGATCATGTAGCCCCTGAGGCGATGAGCAATGAAATCTACAAAACAATATGCCTCATTTGCTTAGCCGGAGCAGGTGCCAGCCTTGGAGGGTTCGCATCCACCAGCGCAGCCGTTGTACATCTGACACTTAGTCTTGGTGTCGGCACAGACATTCTTGAGGGTAGCGGTGTCCTTGTAGGTCAGGTTGATGCCGGCCAGCTCTCCGCCGTTCTTGGCGGTGACGCCCTCCATGTAGACGTTTCGCTTGCACTGAGTCTTGCACTATGCAGGTTGGAAGAGAGGTTAGCGGGTTTTGTCACGAGACAAGAGTTGTATATTCCAGGAATTATCGACTTACGTTTCCGCAAGAGCGGTAGAGCTTGCCGTAGTCCTCGACATAGTAGTTGATCTTTGATAACTCTTAGCATTGCTTATTTGAGAGCGAACATTAGTCGATCGATACTCACCACGTTGACGGTACCGCAGCCGTTGTGCTGAATGACCTTGTCAGAGGCGTGGTACGCACCACCACCGACAATCCAGGACTGGGTTCCAGCCTTGTCGTTCTTGATGGAGATGGCGTCCTCGCAGACGTCCTCGAACCAGACAAACTCAAGAGTGCAGTGTCCGTTGCAATGAACACCCTCAGCCTGGTTCTTGCCAATAATGGCGTTCTTCAGGGTGCCTCCGGCCTGGATGTAGAAAACGGAGTCCTTGTAGTCTTGGAGAAGGGGCATGTGTTAGGTACGCAGGCACAGCTAGGACGCGTACGATGGACATTGGCTACTCACCACCCTCGGACTGGCCACCGCAGGCACCGGAGCCGCGGTCGAAGCGCTGCCACTTTCCGTCGTAGACCTGACCAGCCTTGATCTCGATATAAGACTTGGAAGTCACGGTACCGGTAGCCTTTGGAACACCACCAGTGTAGCCGTTGCAGGCGAAAGCGCTGGGAAGGGCGGCCAACAAAGGCACCAGGCCAAACTTGAGGAACTGCATGATAACAAGAGTATATACACTCGCAGAAATAAAGAATGAATGTAGTAGTTGGTTTAAAGTTGAAAGAAGGTGAGAGTGATGGGCAGAAGGACTGGATGCGAATAGGTCGGACAACCCGAGGACTTATATGCAAACCTTCTCAAGGCAGAGGTTCCTGGTTCACGCAGAGTCTACCAATGCTGAAAGCTCACACTATCCCTATCGTAACTTGGCTACTCATCAGAAGAGTCTAGGCACAATAACCAAGTATCGCCTGTCTCAGGCCTAGGTGAGCGGGGGTTTCCCGAGCCCGTGGGTGAGGAGACGACGGATCGCACGGGGATTTGGATCATTGGTGGACATATAAACAAGCGGGCCCGGGAGATGCCTGCATGGTTGCTTCTGCGCGATTCTTGTAGTCGCTGATGGAGTCACTTTGGAGATTTGCTCCGCGTACCGGCGTCTGCGTTGGAAACTTTGTTGTGTTCTGGTCCCGCAGAGTGATGTACTTCGTACCTGGCTTTCACTTATTGTCAACACTGCATGTAAGGGGGGTCACAGTACATACAATGAAACTCCTGGGCTTAGTTGGACCGGAAGGAGCCTGACTTAAAGGGAGAAGAAGCGCCCTCCACTGTCGACAGGACTCTGCCATACTGCAGATTGCCACCAAGCTCTGATTTTGCAGTGTACCTACAGATCGGTGTACCTACAGATGTGTGAAAAACTTGATCGGATTACGGATGACGGTGTGAGGGTGTGATGGTAAGTTGTTAACCTCTTCGGCGTCCGGCCAGATGCGACCCAATCGGACGGCAGTTCCGACCTCAAAAAGAGATTAAGCCATGTGGTAACGAACCTGGGAGCCCGACGACCAGGTTCTTTGCGCAAGGGGCCCCTCTGAGTTGGCCTCTCTTCAAGCAGCAGACGAATCAAGCGTGGCCAACGAAGGTGATACCGTGATCCTGCTGACATCCTGTCTTGGAGGCCACAACAACAGTGGTCTGTCGGCGAGTGTGGGACCAAAGCGAAAAAGAGTCCATTCTATCAAATGCATTGTTGTTGGTGGTGGTCTGTAAGGCGGAGTTGCCAAGACTCTTGTGTGCACAATGGGATGGATTGCTGCAGCTAACAACCTAGTCCGGTGCTGGATGTTGATTAATGCCAAGAGTCAAACTCGCCCCAAAGACTCTTGTTCGAAAATTGCCAGGGGAGCTTTGCCCCGCACACCGTTCTTTTGGACAATGTTTTTCCATCATTCCTATGGCAGTCTTGCGAGAAAAAGAACTCACCGATCCAGTCGTTGTTCAGGACAGACTCTCCTTGAGAGTATCATCGGAAGCGGACGCCATCCGCCGGCCCCACCGCGACCGAGACCGAGGACCCATGTCATGTTCTCCGGGAGTCTGTCTGACCATGCCTAACCTTATCTAGCACCCATGTTGCCGCCAGTGTTCTGCCAGCACGTTTGGCGGCTGTCATCTTAAGTTTTGAGGCAGCCCTCGCCTACCCTTGCTGCCATCACCTTATTCTTTGGCATCCTGACCACCTTTGATCGAGGTCATTGGGTCAATATTTACGCTTCCCACGTGCCCAGCCCTTGGGACCTGCTCATTGTCTCTTGCTCACTCCAGGGGCAATTTGGGATTATCTCCCGCTTTTCCCACATTTGAGGGTCCGTTTCTGAGGCTATGCTGGACTTCAACCCGGCTTCTCTCCGCAACGCACAGGCAGCCGGGCGAATCATTCTCTTCCCGCCGCCTTGTGGGCTTTGAAAATGGCCATATTTGCCCACCTCGCCGTATTATGGTATCCATTTCACCTGAAATTTTTAAACTGTCAACGGACGCTCCGTCAGTATTGACATTCTCGGGAATGGAGAACATAGCAATCCCATAGTTCTTGGTATTCCCATCAAACACTCACTTGGCGCTTCCAATTGAGCTTATCCCCGATGGTTCTTCTAGGCTCGTCTTCTGTAACATGGCCAGACATTCCATATTAGACAAAGGGGTTGACTTCTTCCTTTCCACTCCGGGCTCCCTCCTTTCCAAATACCCCACAATCTCTATATGCAGACCCAAGGATATTTGAGACCGTCGCCTGCATATGGCTAAGGGTCAAGACTTCGGCCGACTTTGTTGACAATGGACCCAAACGAGGACTGGCCGGACCCTCCGATGAGCTTCGTTCACACGATATCGCTTAGAGAATGGGGCCATCCACTTAGGCTCATGGGCTACCTCTGTCGAATGTGCGGACCAGCGGCCTCCATGCTTTAGCCACATAAACAGCCTTGCTTGGAAGACCAAGTGAGGAGTTTTGAGAGGGAAAGGGCTCATTTTGGCTCGGGGGTTCCCCACGTTTGTTCGCCGCTAGAGAACAAAATCTCCTAGCTTGACGCGAGCGAATACTGACACCACGAAGTTTGGCAGAAAAAGTCGGATGGTGTCAGCCTTCGTTACCAGTCAACACCCAGCGCCCGTCTTGCGAGGACCTTCCGCACTGGACCTGTGATTGTCTGGCTAAAGATTTCAGGCCAACTTCTCAAGCAAGTACACTACCTCCCCACAGAACACATTTTCGAACTCATATGGCCATCCTGGCGTACTTGGTAATCTATTCAGTCTGGAAACTGCCTTATGTAGCGCGACCTTGATAATACAGGTGAGGGGCGAACTTCACTCATCCCTTATTGAACCCTGCCGCCAAGCTTTCTGCGATACCACCGCCATGGAGACCGAGGTCTTGGCAAATCTCAATCAATTGATTTTCACCTGGCGGCGAGCGCTCACTGCAGGACTGCCACCGACCTTTTCTCAATGCTGTCGTTGTCGGTCACCTTTTGGACTCTTTTCGAGGTCTGCCAATTACGTCGGCAACATGAAATCTGGCGGAAATTGGACCCAAACTTACTTGGGGAGTCTTTTCTCTTTCGTGTCATTTCTTTCCCAAGAAGTTCTGCGAATGCGATCATGACCCGCAACCCACTAACTCGAAGTCGGTCTTTAATGACTAGACCGAAGGCACCGACTCGAGCAATACTGGGTATAACAGATCGGAGAGCCGAAGTACTCGCCAACCAGAAGCCGATCCAAAGAACGGAAATGTTCGCCGTGATACTGACGGTACCGTTGCATCGTGAGTCAGTACACATGACAAACATGTTTAATTTATCCTCAGGACTTCTCGGTCGAGGTGCCCCTAGGATGCCCGTGATTCATTGCCTGGGATTCCCCTTCCAATTGGATCTTCCTCCGATCTAAACTCTATCGCTTGCCACTCTGGCGTTCGAGTGTGACCGGATCATCTGCCGCCCCCAGGTCGGGCAACCTAAATGAGTAAGGGCGAGCAGGGTGAGCTACGCATCTTTGCAGGATAAGTTTTCTCGCCACGGTGATTCCGTTCACTAATACCTAATCATACCACGTTGTATGATAACCTACTAATTTGAGAACTAGCTGGAGAAACACTAAAAAAATATCTCTAAATACTGATATCATGAGACTGCTTTACTCAATTTCCACGTTATCTCGCTGCGCAATGCTTCCAGCGGACAAGAATCATACATCTATTCTGCTCTTTTGTTTCTCATTTACCTAACGTGCCCTTTGTTTGCCATTAAATGAACATAAGCTGAGACTGGCTTCGCTTTCCCCTAAATCCCTGAGGCTAAGTCTCGAAATATAATTGTAGCTCCTTTGGAACTTTGATACTGTGTTATGTCTCGAGCCAATTTCACGTTGAACGATCGGAATATACACACCATCGGGCTCTTTTCAGAACCGAGTCAGTTCTCGATTTTTCACCATGGAAATTGACAGATGAACCGAAATAATTATCACAAGTACTTCTCTTCATACACAGTAAACCGATCACTCCATGATATCCATGATCTGTCTCATCCGTTCCTTGATCGTGACGATCTCCTGTTCCAGGCGGCGTCTCAACTCGGGGTTCTCCTCGCTTTCTGTCGCGATATTCTCATTCCTGATCAGGTCAAAAACCGACGTAATCGCGGCCAACCCAGCACGGACGATAGCTTGTAGCTCGATCTGTACGTTATCCGCTAAAAGCCTCATTCTGCTCTTGAACTCAATCATGTGGTTCTCAAACAGATCCACGCGACCAACAGCATTGCGGATAATCCTTTTACGTCTCCCATCACTTCCTCCTCCTACATTCAGTGCAATTAACAACATACTCTAATATCTGGCCTGTATGATCTCAACTTACCATATTCCGCGTTGCACAGCCTGTAAGGGTCTTCCATCGCTTGACCAAGTATGGACGTCCGAATGCCGGTAAGTGCGTCAATACGTAGCGAGCTATTTCGAAGGTGAGTTTGAGACCTTCCTCAGAAGATTGAGCTGCTTACTTCAAGTCAGCGCCGATTTCGTCGGTAAGATCCTCTACTTGGGACTCCATGATATTCTTGTGGCAGATCAAAGTTTCCTGGAGGAGATCGGTGACTACAGGAAAAAGCTCAAGCTCATTTTCTGACCAGCATTAGCGGAGTGATCCCAGTAAGTGATTGAAAGCTACTCACCAAGAAAATCCAGTGCCCAGTCCATCTGGCTCTGGATTAGACGACCGCCCTGCTCCAATTTAGCCGAGCAAAAAGTGCACACCGAGTTCCACTGAGGCGTCACATCCTCGGCCATGGTGCAAATCAACTCCTGATTCCAATCATGCCACCCGGCAATCCTGGTACGATGGTTCCCGAAATTACGACAGAACGCTGAATAGGTTCCTTCACAAATTTCTGAGTAAAATGTCACCAGGCATCACTTGCAAAGTTAAATCTTACCAGGCGCCCACTGAGATCCAGTTAGCTAGGCACATGTGGAAAGAAATTGAGCGACCTACTGGATGCCATTCCAAGGCGGCATTCGCCGCTGCAGTCATCCATGTATTGTTGCGACGATCTTAAACATTTGGAGTCAGACATATTGATGGTCTGAGGAGCAGGTAGACCACATACTATCATAGACTCGCATCCTGAACTCATCTTTGATCGACGTCCCAACGAGGCTAAGATCTGAGTTCCTTCTCGTCAACTCCTAATTACCGACTATCAGTCTAAAAATCCAAAGGCAAAAAGAAGTTTCTTGAGGATTCTCTGACCCTCTTCAGCCGAGACTCAATCAAATTCAGCGTGTCTCGAATATGGAGCTTTTGTTCAGCAACGGCGCTTCCTGCACCAGACTCAACCCACAATGCAGCTTCTCCAAGTATAGCTGGAATGTCGTTCTCGATATGTCTCTTGGCAATACTCAACTGACTATCCGCAATAATGCCGAGGCAGTGCTTTCGCAGAGCAAGGATACCGCTTAGCTGCAGTGATGGGAGGGCCACGTCTCTCGGCTTATGTCGTTCATCCCAGTATAGGATGTTGCTAACGCAAAACACAGCCAGGCTTCCGCCTCTAATCTTTTCTTTGTAAGTCGTTTGGAGTTGGCTGTCAACAATAGTGTTGCGGGTCTTGATCAGATACTCTTTCAGCCTATTGTGAAGGTCGGCATGTCAGCTTACACTGAGGCCAAGTTTCTGTACTTATTCAACAAGGTTGACGGCCGCATAACTTACTCGAATAAGTTCTTCTTCAAAACTGCACTGTTTAGGCGATGCGAGTTAGCGATAGATGCAAAAGCCTCTGTGCAGACGAGTCTCACTTAGTTCGCCTATGTTCGCTGTGGAGTTGAATCGATTCTCTTTGCTCCTCGTCTGTCAGTTCCGTCGTCTCCAACTCGTCAATTTCCGCTAAGCTAAGATTGATATCTTCAATCTTTGCCTGAGTGGTGGAGACTGCATCGCTCAGTTGCTGGATACGATTTGCATGTCGGCCGTGCCAATCCTTCATGGCTTCTTCAACTCGAATGTCCTGTGGCTCCGCCGTCAGCAAACCGCTTAGACATTATAACAAGGTGGGAAATTGGAGATTCTAAAACGTTCTCACATCGGACTTTGTGCAGACGATTCCAACTTTAGATAACCCTGCCTTCTGCGCAAGTTCAAAGACACTTTGCACACCGACATCTGTAGTCGCGCGTCCAATGTTGCATATGGCAAAAATCTCATCACATTCGACCAAATATCTTTCGGTGATAAGTCTCCGTGCCGAGTTGGAGTCCCGCAATCCTAAAATTCATATATTAGGGTCACTTGGGCCGTATCAAGGGATGCTTCACCTTACCAGGAAGATCGACGAGGATTAGACCCTTACTCAGAATATGTGAGGACAAGAAGACCCTGATCCCTGTTAGAAGACTTCACTCTCCGACCTCTGGAATGAGGCAAAACTTACTTGATTTTACGGACGAAAGGCCAAACAGCTGGCGTTCGTGTATCTACCGACTCGGACGTCAGATACATCAGGAAAGCAGCGCAACTATCCCGCGAAGGCTTTTCATGTCTTCCTTCAAGCGGTAGGTCCATTCTTCGCAGCCAAGAACGAAAGGTTCTTAGGATAGTGGCTTCCTCCTCATTGATAAGGAAGTCTTCGCTCGCCAGCTGACCGCGAAACATGGACCGAAAAGTGTCTCGAGCGACGTTGGCCAGCTCTTCAAAATCGACAACTGTTGCCGCTCCATCATTTCTCCTTAATTCTCCCCCGTTCAGGTGAAACATTCGATAGGATTGAAGCAGTTGTTTTAATTGCTCCATGAGATCATCCTGACTGAACAATTCCACATCAATAGCAAAATCATCCCCGTCCTTATGGTGATACTCGGTAACAACGCAGGTGCATGCGGCCCCGCTATTGCTCTAGCATACGTTAACCGATGGCTGCGACTCTACGCACGGTCTTCTTTAACCTACTGTTCTAGCGAGATTCTTTTGATCCAGAAGGGAGTTCAAGACGCTACTTTTACCTGTGCTCGTAAGAGAAGGCCCCTTCGATCACAGTACTAGACGCTTACCAACGCCGGAATCTCCAACAAACCCAACTGTCCGCGTCGAAGGTCCTTCGAATTGGGACAGATCCAGTGCTTTGCCATGTAGCCGTCTGATTGTTGAATCGGGGTTGGTGTGAAGAGGGTTTTCTTCGAGAACATTTGCCAACTGGGTCATCAATGTCTTGGCGTCCTTGATGGCGCTTTGGACCGCTGGGTCGTAGAAGCGACTCTCTGGCAGCTCCTCGTCCTTGACTTCATGATACACCAGCGGTCCTTCAGAACGCCCCCGCGATCGACGAGGGGGGCGCGGACTCAAGGAGATTTGCCTGAAGGCAGGCGTAGGATTGCTGGGTTGAGGACTCTGTCGCCCAACATCGTCGAACAGATTCGACAATGCGGCTCTAATCTCAGACAGCCCCCTCTCTACTGGCGTACGATCGAGGCGTTCGATAATTAGCCGATCCAGACGATCAGTAATGTTTCCAATCTCGAAGGAATCCCGAGCTGGATGTTGTTCCCCAGGGAGACTATCAGCAGCCCTATAGGGGAGTGGAGAGTGTGGAGCTGATGCCAGTGGAGAGGTTGATACTGAGGCAACCCCTGGGCGAGTATAGGTTGTTGGGGCACGAGGAATCGACGCTCCAGATAATAGAGGCTCGGCCCCTGCCTCAGTCTCAATTGAAGGGATAGGCTCATCAGGAGACACTCGGCTCGGCAATATTAGGTCCGGAAATAACGTGTCACTTCTGACGATAGATGGAGATCGACTCGACTCAGGAGTGAAAGCTGGGGCAGACGATCCCCGAGACGTCGTCGATGCTGCTACTGACTGGTGCCTGTTTGGAAATGAAGCCGGCGGAGAACCTGAGATCATTGATTCCTGAGGAAATGATGCGGTCCGAGGCGGGGGTTCAGAAGCCGCAGCCCTTGGGGGATCGGCCGTGGCCGAGGAGGATTGCTAATGGTGATATTCCAACGTTAACTGAGTGGGCTTCCTGGCGGAAAGGATTGATACTGGGGTTTTGAGGAGAAGAACTCACGACTCTTGACATCCTTTGGAAGTCGGCGGCGACACAAAAGAACCACGAAAAGCTGTAAATTCGGGCGCTTTAGTCGGGTGAGGGTGCTGCCCGCCTCTTCAAATAAGTTGGTGCTCCGTTCCTCCCAAGCCGTCTCATTCAGGCTAGCCCGAAAGACATAGCCTCATTGCGGTTGAATATCCTATTACAGAGACTGATTCCGTTGGAGATATCTATTCTGGTAAAGCAAAATCACCCTCGCGGTGAGGGGATCATGCAGGCGAGGGCGGCGCAGACCTGTCCTGTTGGTTTCAGCTGCATACCCCGGGTCGTCGACCGAACCAACATGGATGGGTCAAGCGGGCGAAATAAGCGCCAACAGATTCTTTGGACCATGATATGTGTGACACTGAGTCAGTCACTTGCAGAATTCTGATTCTTGGGTTGGATTCGGGCTTATTAGCACCCCAACGAGTCGAGAAAGCCGAATTAGACTTGTAGTCGCCAGGGCTGTTGGCTTTTGTTTTAAGACGCGACCAGAAGGTCATCAGCGCTTAACAACAACTAAGTTTCTGAGACTTCCCCCGTGTACACAAGGCCATCAAGTTGCACGTACAGCCTTGTATGACCATGAACGGAAGAATGCTAGATTCGTTGTTCAGCTCATATTTCTATGATGAAGAAACCCCTGCACGGCATTGTGGAAGGACAAATACCCATATTTCAGGTAAGTGCAGTGCTATGTAGTCTATGTTCTCCTTCCGAACTTAACAGCCCCTCGTCTCCAAGATCTGAATTGAAGCATGTCTCATAGATCGATAAACGTCTCTGTGACGCGCGACTTTCCTACGTTCCCTGTTCACTTTGTCAAATCCATGGTTCGAACAACTAATCGTGAAAATCGATCCGTAACAGTAGACGTTGGAAAACATCGTATTGGCAAACACAATCATGTATCAATACCGTTTCTAACATTATCCTTTCAACTATTGAAAACAGGCGGTCACCTGGCTATGAAGGCTCATCTCTAGCTTTGCTAATAACATACTTCAAAGAGGCATCAGAGCCGGTGTTCATAGACTCAACATGTGGCATCTGTGTCCCAAATCCAGCAAGCGCAACATATTTGCCTAACGAGTTGACGCAACATTGGGACTCTAAGGGTTCTCAAACGACCTAACTTGTTTTTCCTTTCGAAAGCTAATGCACATTAAGTGGTCAACCAGCGAAACCTGAGAGGCTTGTATTTAGTGTATCAAGGAGTTCGGATCACTGTTCAGAGGATGCGTTGTACCGTTCAACTGAGCTTCAACATCTCTAATTGAAGACGCTCCCAATAGCCAGCGGGCTTCATTGAGATTCAAGTACCAAGTGACACGGAAGTAAGCGTTGGCAACATGGTCTTCTTTCTTTCGAGTTCATCACCTCCAAAATGTGTATGACGTTCTTTCGCGGCTCTGAGATTTTCTTCAGTGAAGACTTGATGTTTCAAGAACCGGTTAGTCTAGTTTCGACGCACGAGGCTCTGAACTTGCTCATTCGATTCTCATCAAATTTCGCAGTGAGCAGATGCATCCTGAATTACGACATATGGTTAGCAGGTAATGTTAGAAGTACTTGACGCAGCGACTCTCTCCTATATCACACTTGCCAACTAACACCTTCAATTCCTTAGAGAGACTCATGCAAATCGGGGTTTGTTGGTTACAGGCACTTTGCAGCCGAATGTCTTGATGATTGACTCACTACCCCATAGTCCTTAGCAAGGACGTCGACGCTTCGGGAGTTGAGACCATTGAACACCATATGATTCCAGTACTATGTCTTTGTCTATCGATCTGAATCTCAACCTAGTTTAAACATACAAATGGACCAGCAACCGTGGTGCTGTCAGCCATGAGCTCTTTGGCAGAACTTCACCTCTGACAACTTTCTCGGCATGACTATGTGCTTGACAAATCTAGCCTACTATCAACTTCTTACGTCTACTTATATTTCCCTGGTTCTAGGAAATCCAGATGGGGGTGCCGCTTTAAGTAAGAGAACATATGCTCCAACGTTCCTGCGTCATTTCTCACAATCAGTAGATCTAGGCTAACTCCACCTACAAGACTGCACATCACTTACAAAGCTTGAACTACATTATCTCGAAGTCAGAAAGAGAATATCAAACCGTAGTTACCATTGGATATACCAAATAATGGTCCAAATGCTTACATCAAACATGATTGTATCGATGGCAATTCCTTTTGGGGAGACCATCACTTCAAGTAAGGTAACTGACTACACCTACCTCGCTGGATAGTAGATCAACTCAGGTTTTCACGTAAAAATGTGAGGACCTCAGTAAGGTAGTCAAGGCTACCTCACAAGTAGAGACTAGAAGTACTGCAATCTGCGACACCTGGGTTATGTTTCAATAGCATTTTACTCACAACCCAGGAACCAGATCGATTGGACAAACAAAGCCGTCCGTACATATTCTATCAATTAATTAAGAACAAAAGATCACCAGGACACAAAGCCCCCAGTAGGTCCATCTCTCAACCACAGACACCATCCTCTATCCAGCATACAACCTACGCAGTCTCACCTCTATGACTGAGCTTTCAAACACAGCGCAACAGACTCAACCCGCTATTACGCGACCGCCCTGATGTCAACGCTAGATGTGCACATTCAAACCCCAATCAACGTGATCGTAGGTGCTCTCTTACCTCGTCCGTGGTCCCACCTGAAGACTTACTCCTCTCCGGTGGTCTTCCCAAACTACTTTGCCTAACATACGAGGCAGTAAATAAACCCTCCTTCACGGACCCGGCGCTAAGAGAGGGGAAAAGGGGAAGAGGCGGGGAGTGTCTTGCGAAAACGGCTTTGCTCACCCCAAGGACTCGGCAATCGGATTTGGTTCTCCCAAGCTTCGATCTTGGCAGATGGAGAGCGAT